CRTTTGACTTTTATGGTATTTTTTGAGGTACTGAGGACTAAACCCAGGAGTACACTATCACTGAACTACACCCCCAGCCTTTTTTATTTTAAGACAAGTTATCSCTGAGTTACTGAGACTGGCCTTTAACTTCTGATCCTCCTGCCTCAGCCTCCTGAGCAGCTGGGATTACAGGGCTGTACCACCACACCCAGCTATTTAAATGTTATTAATGAGGGGTTGGGGATATAGCTCAGTTGGTAGAGTGCTTGCCTTGCATGCACAGGCCCTGGGTTAAATCCCCAGCACCACAAAAATAAATAAGTAAATAAAAAATAAATGTTGTTAATGAGCATTATTACATTTATAATTCTGCTAAACAAAAACCTGTTTAAATTRGAGAGGGGAAGTAATGTTTGTTAGTAAAACTTAAGCRATTAAAATTCACAAAGAAACAAATTCCTTAATTCACTATCATATACTTCTTTCTACATCTTTTTCCTATAGGTGTACAAAAATTGCATCTTATCACAACTGTCTTATGCACCTTGTTTTTTTTTCACATACAAATATATTGAAGATTCTATAGGACTCTATTTATACAAAATTCTACAAGAGGCAGAACTATAGCAAAATAATAGACTAATGGCCACAGGCCTGAATGGGATGGGAAGAGACTGCCAAGGGGCGGAGGAAACTTTCTGGAGAAAAAAATATTTAATGTCTTGATTGTGACAATTGTTACTTAGAGGATACGTTTGTCAAAACTCATCTATTGTATACTTAAAATGTGCACATTCTATTGCAAATTCACACCATAGAAAATCAGACCATTTTCYGTAACCCAAGGAAGTGATTAAAACCTTTATGGTAAGAGACATTYTTCCAGTGTGACACAGGCCTTGTGCTCTGTGTGATCTCATGGTTCAGCACAGCAGAATAGGGCAGTCATTCGCTTGACCAGTCCCTTCTGGGTAGATACTTACTCTTTACCCCTTCCGTTTCTTGCTGCTACAATCAATGTTTGTGTGGTCACCCTCCTGGTCCTGTCTTTGAACACATGTCTGGTTATTTCTTTAGGATAAATTCCCACGTGTGGAATTTCTAGAGCAAAAGTTATTTAGTGGCACTAAATGACAAATTAAGATCCACARTCAGGGCTAGGGATGGAGCTTTGTGGTAGAGCTTGCCTAGCATGCATGAGACCCCAGGCTTAATACCCAGCACTGGAAAATAAACCATAATTTTTGTAATAATTTATATTTAACACAAACTATGTATTAAGATTCCTACTACTGCCACATTCTCAATAAGGCAGCCTAGTAGCCTAGTATGTTTTCTTCTCTCTCTCTCTCTCTCTCTCTCTTTTTGGTACCAGGGATTGAACCAGTAACACTTAACTGCTGACCACATCCCCAGCCCTATTTTGAATTTTATTTAGAGACARGGTCTCACCAGTTGCTAAGCGCCTCAATTTTGCTGAGGCTGCCTTTCAATTCATGATCCTCCTGCCTCAGCCTCCTGAGCAGCTGGGATTGCAGGCGTGTGCCACCTGTGAATTATATATATTTTTCCATTTCTATGTCCATTATTCTTTTTTTTTTCTAAGATGGATCTTTATCCTTTAACTTGCTATTTTATTCTTTTCCTTAATTTAAAATATCTGAACAAACAAACAAAACTTCCCTCCCCCATCGTTCCAAAGAGCGGGAAATTTGGAAGCATGTGATGGCTCACTGGATTTTGGAGTTGCTATGGTAACCTTGTGTCCATACTTTTTTTGACTATTTATTTCTTGTTGCTTTGTAAGAGTTCTTTACATATTGACAGTGGTGTTCTTTCATGTATTTTGTAAATATTACTCCTGGTTTATGTGTTTTTTTCCAGCTTTATCTACAGCACCTATTGTTATTTGGAAATATTTTAATTATTCAATATTTTAAGTAATTTAAGGCAAATTTGTTAGCCTTTTTCTTTATGAATTTGGGGTTTTATGACTAACTTTAAACAGCCTTTCTTGCTCAAGGACTATTTTAAGATTTTCTTCATATTCTCTTATGGAACTTTATTTTTTTTTTAATATTTATTATTTTTTTTAGTTCTCGGCGGACACAACATCTTTTGTTTTTGTATGTGGTGCTGAGGATCGAACCCAGGCCGCACGCATGCCAGGCGAGCGTGCTACCGCTGAGCCACATCCCCAGCCCTCTTATGGAACTTTATGGTTTCATATTTTTTAAAACTCTTTAGCCCTCTAAAATTAAATTTTATATTAATGTGAACTAAGAGCTCTTACTTTTTTTTCATATGCTGGTCAATGGCCCCAATTCCATTTCTACTGATTTGAAATGCTACTTTTCTCACATTACCAAACTCCTTCACGTGTAAAGGATATACACACGTATTTTCCCCCCGACTCTCTTCTGTGCTGCTGGCTCGTGCATTTATTCTTATACCATCCCATAATCTAGATGCAGGGCTTCCTAAGAACCAGAAGTCTACCTGTGCAGCTCATGGATTGGCAGGGAGGTCTATGGACACTGATCACATCCCTCCTCCAGGGGCTCCCCCCACGCTTAGCACAAAGCCAAATGAGTGACAGTGACCTGGTCTCTGTTCCCCTCTGTCCTTGTCTCCCGCCCAAGGGTGGGCCACCTGCTCACTCACTGTGCCCCAGGAGCTCTGGCCTTTGCCTCCTCCTCGAGCGCAGGACACTTGCAGTTTTCTGCCTCAAATGCTGTCTGCACGGTGGACTCCTTCCCTTCTCTGTCTTCTGCAGCTTTCTCCAAGAGGCCATCCCTGGCCACTGTGACTGAAGCAGCCGTGCCCGCCCCTGCCCTCCACCTCCTCCATCACAGCCCTGATCACTGTCAGAAGCCCTGGCTTACTTACTTGTCTTCTGTGTTCTCCACTGRGCTGCACCTGGGCTGCGATCTGTTGTCACTCTCCGTTACCCTGCCCCACATTCTCACAGGATAAGGACTTTACTAACTTATTCAGCTTCACACCCCGGTGCCTGGAACACACAAGAGGCCCTTAATAATTTTTTTCCTCATTGAATGAATGATGGAAATAAATCAGTGATGATATCAATATATAGTAAAAAGCTGTTTGCTAATTTAACAGACGTTCCTAATTTTTAAAGGATGTGTAAACCTCTTACAAGTGATAGAGATAATACAGCACAACACTGAGGTCAGAGCTATCTCAACCTCTTCCCACCATGTATCCTGAGACAAGTCACTTACCTCTCTGAGTCTCAGTGTCCTCATCTATAAAATGGGGAAAATAAGGGTAATGAGATTTCTCGTAAGAAGTAAATTAAATAACAAAACGGTGCTCAGCAGAATGTCTGTGACGCTGTCGACTTTGATATACAGTATGGGGCATTATTTGAATGGCAATAGGAAAGCAGGGATCTTCCTCAATGGCAGAAGAAAATTAACTAGAAATCTGTCATAAAAATCTGCCATGCCCAACAGTGTGGGCTAGAACCACTCCTGGTATTGCCCGGATATAGCAGGAGCACAGCACAGTGGCTGAGACCAGCAATGCTCCCGGGAAGGGGGCTGGATGATGGTGTAAAAATGTTCAAAATAAGAGTGACAGTTTAGAAATGAATATATAAAATTATTCTTGTGAAAGAAATTTGAAAACTCAAAGAAAATGAATTGACAAATGAAAACCAATGTTAATGCATTGATCAACCCTGAGATAAAACACAAAATTAATCATCTTTTATACCAACAATATTCAATATTCATAGATACAGGGCCAGGGCTGGGGCTCAGCGGTAGAGCACTTGCCTAGCACGTGTGAGGCACTGGGTTCTATTCTCAGCACCACATATAAATAAATGAATAAAATAAAGGTCCATCAACATCTTTAAAAAAAAAAACTTTAAAAAAGTACCTCTACACAAATGAGAAATTGTTGTTTGGCAAGATCTAGGTAAGAAGAAAATCCCAAGTCTTACTGAAAGGACTAAATAAAAACCTCCAGACACCCACGTGAATCTATGTACACACTGTTGCTTGCATCAAAACCCCACCTGCGTTTAGAAGAACAAGAGTAAGGAGAGTCAATGGGATTTTGAAGCACAACGAGGGTGGCCTCACCCTGGCCTAATGTTTTGGCAGTGACAACACCTGGGTCATTAAAAAAAAAAAAAAATATATATATATATATATATATATATATATATATATTTAGTTGTAAATGGACATAATACCTTTATTTTATTTTATTTTGTGGTGCCAGGGCCTCAGGCGTGCCAGGCAAGTGCTCTGCCACTGAACGACAACCCCAGCCCCCACCTGGTCATTTTTCATGAAGCAGCAATAAGCCCTGCTCTCTGCTGACCTCACATCATGTTTTCTCTCCTAGAACCATAGATGATGGTGGCTGGTCCCCACCCCCTGAGTCCCTGGGCCCCTGCTGGAGGGACTGCTGTAGTCCTGTGTCTGGCCAGGAGGGACAGAGGGTGGGGGTGGCCTTGGAGTCCTCGGTGTCCACCTGGCTGCAGAGAGGGCCAAGGGATGCCAGAGACTGGGTCTCAGCATGGCTTCCCTTCCTGGTGCCTCTGCATCACCATCTCCTGCTGCTTGCGGAGCTGCCTGAGGGCTGGGAGCCCCGGCTTCCTAGGAGGCTTAGGAGACCAAGAGGCAGCTGTGCCTCTTCGTCCTCCACAGATGTACCCCTGCAGAGGCTCCGCCTGCTCTGATGATGCCCTACACCCCACGACCCCACAGCCTAGTCCAGCATGGTTCCCTCTTGGTGTCAGACATTCTGAGGCTGGACACCTGCAAAATGACAGGTACCCACAACGCAGTGTCACACAGAGCACTGTCACTGCCTGTGCTCCGCCGCCAGTCCTGGTGGCCTCCTTATCTCGCAGTCTGTGGTCCTCCCATGTTAACTAGCTGGAGTCACACAGTCCGCGTCCTTCCCACAGGACAGGGCAGGCCACTTCCTCTTCTCCCTCCTTTTGAGAAAACTGCTCATAACCTTATCATTTCCAGGTCACAAATGAGGACAACAAGGTGGGGAGAGGGGACGGCAGCCTGCCCAGGTCACCCAGCTGGTAAGAGCAGATCCAGGKCCCAGGATCCATCTACCTGACCCCTGTCCCCATATGATTATTCCCACTGTCCAGGAACAAACAGCCCTTCCAGCCTCTTCCTAGAGGCCAGGCCAGTGGGCCMCCACTGGGGAAGGTGAGAGTGGATCCTGTCCCTGCCTGGGCTAGCCACCTGTTCCAGGACACTGGACAGGGGGGCAGCAGGCAGCAGGTCTGGGCCCTGTCTTCACAGCGCCTGGCTGCAATCCTGGACTCCATGAGGAAGCAGGAGGTGTGGACAGGCGGGGAGGCCGGCCAGGCCCACAGCACCGGCTCCCCAGCCGAGCAGGTGAAAGCCCTTGTGGACCTGCTGGCCTGGAAGGGCAGTCAGGGTGGTCAGACCCCTCAGGTTCCCGACAGGACACCGGACTCCCCACTGGGTCCTTGCAGCAATGGTAAGCCCCAGCCAGGAGGCGGGTGTCGGAGGGGCACACCAGGTTCTTCCCCTGGCCCCCGGCCTCACCTTGTCCTCTGACCTGGCCCTGCAGATTCAAGGATCCGGAGRTACCGCGAGGCCCTGCTGAGCAGGATGGGAGGCGGCCCAGAGCTGAACGGCCCACCGCCCCGGCTGGCCAGCCTCCTGCTGGTGGAGGGCCTGACAGACCTGCAGCTGAGAGAGCACGACTTCACACAAGTGGAAGCCACACGTGGCCAGCAGCGCCCTGCTCGGCCCATTGGGCTGGACAGGCTCTTCCTGCCTCTGTCCCGGGTGTCCATTCCGCCCCGAATCTCCATCACCGTTGGGGTGGCTGGCATGGGGAAGACCACCCTGGTGAGGCACTTTGTCCGCCTCTGGGCCCAAGGGCAGGTGGGCAGGGACTTTCTGCTGGTACTGCCCTTGACCTTCCGGGACCTCAACATCCACGAGAAGCTATCTGCAGACAGACTCCTCCGCTCTGTCTTCCCAAATACTGGGGAGGCTGGCCTGGATGTGGCCACCCAAGCCAGAGTCCTCCTGGTCCTGGAYGGCCTGGACGAGTGTAAAACACCTTTGGACTTCTCCAACACCGTGGCCTGCACAGACCCCAAGAAGGAGATTCAGGTGGACCACCTGATCACCAACATTGTCCGAGGCAACCTCTTTCCAAAAGTTTCTGTTTGGATCACCTCCCGTCCCAGTGTGGCTGGCCAGATCCCAGGGGGCCTGGTGGACCGGATGACTGAGATCCGAGGCTTCACTGAGGAGGAGATCAAGGTGTGTTTGGAGCGGATGTTCCCTGAGGAACAGACCCTCCTGGGCCAGGTCCTGAGCCAGGTGCAGGCCGACAGGGCCCTGTATCTGATGTGCACCGTCCCAGCCTTCTGCAATCTCACGGGCGCAGCACTGGGCCACTTGTGTCGCAGCAGGCCAGCACTCCAGGACGCAGAGCTGTGGCCTCCACGGACCCTGTGTGAGCTCTACTCTTGGTACTTTCGAATGGCCCTCAGCAGGGAAGGGCAGGAGAAGGGCAAGGTGAGCCCTCGGATTGAGCAGGTAGCCCATGGTGGTCGCAAGATGGTGGGGACGCTGGGCCGGCTGGCCTTCCACGGGCTGGTCAAGAGGAAGTACGTGTTTTATGAGCAAGACATGAAGGCGTTTGGCGTGGACCTCACTCTGTTGCAGGGCGCCCTGTGTAGCTGCTTTCTGCAGCGGGAGGAGACGCTGGCCTCCTCGGTGGCTTACTGTTTCACCCACCTGTCCCTGCAGGAGTTTGTGGCAGCTGCATATTACTACAGCGCCTCCAGGAGGGCCATCTTTGACCTATTCACTGAGAGCGGCATGTCCTGGCCCAGGCTGGGCTTCCTCACGCATTTCAGGAGTGCAGCCCTTCGGGCCATGCAGGCTGAGGACGGGAGACTGGACGTGTTCCTGCGCTTCCTCTCTGGCCTCTTGTCTCCAAGGGTTAATGCCCTGCTGGCTGGCTCCCTGCTGGCCCAGGGCGAGCACCAGAGCTACAGGGCCCAGGTGGCTGAGCTCCTGCAGGGGTGCCTGCACCGTGATACTGCAGTCTGTGCCCGTGCAGTCAATGTCCTGCACTGCCTGAACGAGCTGCAGCACACGGAGCTGGTCCGCAGCATGGCGGAGGCCATGGAGAGTGGGGCCCTAGCCAGGCTAACCGGCCCTGCACACCGTGCTGCCCTGGCCTATCTCCTGCAGGTGTCTGACACCTGCGCCCGGGAGGCCAACCTGTCCCTGTGCCTCAGCCAGGGTGTCCTCCAGAGCCTGCTGCCCCAGCTGCTCTACTGCCGGAGCCTCAGGTGGGCATGGGTTGTGGGCCAAGGAATGAGCAGGACTTGGAATGGTTCCTCCTTCCACTGTGTCCCCTGGGTTAGTCACCTGGTGTGCGATAACAAAGTTCCAAAACTGCACCCAGTTTTTTTTAAAGGTGTGTTTTTAGTTGTAGGTGGATAAATACCTTTATTTGTTTAAAAATATAGTTATATTTTAGTTATAGGTGGAAACAATATCTCTATTTATTTTTATGTGGTGCTGAGGATTGAACCTAGTGCCTYACCATGCTAGGCGAGTGCTCTACCTCTGAGCCACAACCCCAGCCCTGCACCCAGTTTTAATACCACAGAAATTCATTCTCTCACAGGAGGCCAGAAGTCTGAAATCAAGGCATCGGCAGGTCCGTGCTCCTTCTGAAACCTGTAGGGAGGACCCTTCTTACCTCTCTAGCTCCTGGCATGTGCCAGCAATCCTTGGTGCTCTTTGGCTTGTAGCTGCCTCCTTCCAGACTCGGCCTCCTTTGTCAAGTGGCCATCTTCTGTGTCTCTKTCTTCACATGGTCCTGCCTCTCCTGCAAGGACACCATGACCGTAGATTATAGGCCCCCTACTCCAGTATGACCTCCTCTTAACTGTTATATCTGCAATGTCCCTATTTCCAAATAAGGCCACATTCTTATGGCACTGGGGGTTAGGACTTCAACAAATGCTTTTTTGGGGGGAACACAATCCTACCCTTTAATAAACAGCCTCTGAGCCATCCGGTGCTGCTGGAAGCCACACCCACTGACTCTACCCTCAGCCCATGCTCTGTTCACTGCTCTGGCCTCAGCAAGTGGGGAGGAAATGGTGAAGGATGAAGCCTTGATGACAGCTCGCTCATGCATCTCAACAGAGTTAGGGCTGGGCACAATGGCACATGCCTGTAATCCCAGCAGCTCAGGAGTCTGAGGCAGGAGGATTGTGAGTTCAAAGGCAGCCTCAGAAACTTAATGAGGCCCTAAGCAATCCAGTAAGACCCTGTCTCTAAATAAAATATAAGATGTAGCTCAGTAGTTAAGTGCCCTTGGGTTCAATCTTGGATTGAAAAAGAAGAGCTAGCAGACTGTGACTCTTAGAGGCACCTGTGAATGGGGTTATTGGGACAGTAGCCCCTGGAAGAAGCCCCTGAGTAGGAACCCCAGGGATCATAGGCACTGGGCCACAGGGTTCCCCCTGAAGGGAAGGTCTGAGCATTGCATAGAGGTAGCTCTCTGAGCTGCAGCATGGTGCTGTGGGATGGGGGCTGCCCTGGGCCATTCACCCCCGATCCTCCGCTATTGCTGCCCCTGGCCAGGCTGGATACCAACCAGTTCCAGGACCCCGTGATGGAGTTGCTGGGCAGCGTTCTGAGTGGGAAGGACTGTCGCATTCAGAAGATCAGGTAACGCTGACCTGGGAAACCCCACCTGGGGTGTCCACCTGTGTCATGGGGTGTGGGATCCCCTTCCCACTATCCTTTCTACTCAGCTGGCCAGTGGCGCCCTTGAGCAGAGGGATCTTTGCAGTGTGTGGCTCTGGATGCAGTCTGTTTGATTTAGCCCATGCTAGAAAGTGCCAGAGACTCAGGCATCTCCTCTTTAAGAAGAGGGAAAAGAGGGAAACGTCCTGGTGAGGCTCGGGCACTGTGTGTGCTATCATGGCTCCTGGCACGAGGTTCTCGCAGCTCCCTTCATCGTCTGCTTTCAAGCTCTACTCTTAGCACAGGATTGCATGTTTAATTAAAATTCAAAAACTCAATTTCAAAAAGTTTCAATTTTAATTAAAATTTAATGCATCTGGGCATGGTGACTCCTGTCTAGAATTCCAGCTACTTGGGGGCTGAGGCACATTCATTCACAAGTTGGAGGCCTGCCTTGGCGACTTAGCCAGACCCTGTCTCAAAATAAAAAATAAAAAAGGAGCCCAGTGGCAGAGCACCTCCCTGGATTCAACCTCCAGTACCAAAAAAAAAAAAAAAAAAAAAAAAAAAAAAAAAAATTGTGGAGGGCTAGACACATTTTACTACAGCCACACACTCTCTTTCCCCTCTGCTCCTCACTCTCTTTCCCCTCTGTTCCTCTCTCATTGGTCCTCAATGACATGACCTTGTTTCCAATGTCCAAGGTAATCTGCAAAAAACACACAACTGCTTGTGAAATATTACTTATAAAACATTATGTAGCCCCTAGGCTGTCTAGAATTTGAGAACTTTTACGTAGGAAGAGGCCTGGATGATGGATGTTCCTTGAATTCTTTTTTTTTTTTTTTTTTTTTGTGCTGGGGATTGAACCCAGGGCTTTGTGCATGCAAGGCAAGCATTCTACCAACTGAGCTATATCCCCAGCCCCTTGAATCCTTTTTTTTTAAAATTTTTAACTTTTTTTTTTGTAGTTGTAGATGGACAGAATGCTTTTTTATTGGTTTATTTTTATGTGGTGCTGAGGATCGAACCCAGTGCCTCATGCATACTGGGCAAGCGCTTTGCCACTAAGCTACAGCCAGTCCCCCTTGAATTCTTTCTTAAGCAATAGAATCCTTTTAAAAAATGACATGCCAGGCAGAACCCCAATGAATAAACCAGWCAAAAGGGGAACTTCATGACTGAAAGAGGGATGCCTGGCCCATTTGGTTCCCCCTCATCCTCCTGTTGGCTACTGAAGCTTTCCCCAGAGTCAGGAGGGGCCCTAGGAGAATAGCTTGAAAAGTGCCTGGGGACTCTAGTTGAACACTATATCCCATGAGCTGAAGGCCAACAGAACTATAGAGACATCTCGACTGCCGTCGAAACAACAGTAAATAAATCAGGGGTGTGTGTGTGTGTGTGTGTGTGTGTGTGTGTGTGTGTGTGTGTGTTGTTTTCTTCCTGAGGGTCAGTTTACAGTACCTCTCTCTGGGGGCCATATGGCAGATTTCTGTAATTGCCATAAGTCTTGGCTCTCATTTGGGTAGAAGATTTCCTCTAAAACTCTTTGCCAGGGTGAGGGTCTGTTGGGCCTCTCCGTCCCTACTTGTCTAGCTCAGGGGCTTTCTTGTGATCAGCTTTCTGCTCCAGCGGTCRGTCACCTGGTTTCTGCCTATTTGGGGGGCCTGATGATTCAGATACTCGAGGCTAATCACGGGCACTGTGTTAAGGAGGAGGTGATGAGGTTCTGCACCTGAAGTAATCACTCCTGTCTCTCTCCTCGGGCAGCCTGGCTGAGAACCAGATCAGTAACAAAGGGGCCAAAGCTCTGGCCAGATCCCTCCTGGTCAACAGAAGTCTGACGGCTCTGGAGTAAGTAGGACACCTAAGGCCACTGGAACAAGGAGAGTTTTAAGCCATCTCCCTCCTATGAAGTGACTGGGTCTTATCTGTCCTTCCCTGAGGCCCCAGACTCAGCCCTGGTAGACTCTGGGCATGGCGTCCTGTCCCATTTAGGACAGGTTTCACCTCCCTGCAGCCCACATGTCCTCCTGGACGGCTGGAAGGACAGCCGAGCTTGCAAAGTCACGGCTCCTCAGCTGTTGAGCTTCACCCTTAATAGCAGCCAGTTTTCAGTCCTCAGCTCGTCATTCTCATCTCCACACTGGAACTGGGCCCGCTGGGCTACCAGTCCTGCTTCCTTTCCCCATGTGTCKGCTACCTGGAGACACTTCCTCCTTGCTCACTTATTAAGGATCCCTGCCCTGGTTCCACCAGGTGGGAAATGCTAAACCCTCACGCATTCCCTTCAAAGATCCCAGATCTGAAGGTCTGTGTACTTTCTGTCCCTCCTCTCCTCCCTGAGAGTCATTGTTCTCTCTTCTGTCAGCCTCCGCAGTAACACCATTGGACCACAGGGAGCCAAGGCGCTGGCTGAAGCTCTGAAGATTAACCGCACTCTGACCTCTCTGAGGTACGTGTCTCCTGCTCCCAGCCTCCAGGAGAGGGCCTGCAAAACCCTTGCCTCAGGAGGCACCTATGGAGTGGGAGGTGATTCAAAATGGTGGGCATGGGACACCAGCTTTCACCCACTGGGTACCAGAGCTTGTATCCTAAGCAAGCTTCAAGTCCTAACTCTTCCTTCCTCTTTGAGCCTCTGTAACTCCTCAGTCATGGTGTTAGACTTCCCCGGTAAGCTGCCTTCTTGAAAGGGCAACATTTGGTGTGGTTGGCTGTGTCCTTTTCAGGAGCCTGTGGCGGTGTCCATCCTTAGTGGAGTGGGTACCACTGTTCTGTTGTTTTTCCATTTGTTTATTGTTAGTATTACTCACTACCATTTTGAAGTACCAAGGTAACTGGTATTAGTACACTCGGCGCTATGCCACCATGCCTCAATCTCGTTCTGAAATGTTTTCATCATCACAAAGGATCCTCGTACACATTAGCTGTCACTTTCCATTCTCCCTTCTCTCCAGCCCCTCTCGTGAGCCAATCCTTCCTGTCTGACTGGATTCACCCATTCTGGACATTTCATCTGAATGGAATCAATGGTGCCAGGTCCATTGATGACATGCCTCTTTCTTCTCTCCTGCTTGGCTCCTTTGTCTTTTTCTGTAGGGTGGAAGGAGTGGGGTGAGCCTCAAGCTTCTGACCCATCTGGATGGGCCCTACAACAAGTAATAGCATGCACTGGTGTTTCATTCTATTTTATGATAATACTCTGTTGAATGGAGAGGCCACGACTGGTTTATCCATTCACCCATCAATGAGTATTTGTGCTGTTTCCTCCTTTTGGCCATAATCAATAATACTGCTATGAATATTTGTGTGCAAATATTCAAGTGCCTGTTTTCAATTCTTTGGGGTATATACCTAGGAATGGAATTGCGGGGTCACTTGCTAATTCTGTTTAACCTTCTGAGGAGCTGCCAAGACTCTCTTCCATAGAGGCTGTGTGAGGGTTCCCAACAGCAATGTGAGGGTTCCAGTTTCTCATCATTCTTGCCGGTAATTGAGTACTGTGGCTTTTAGGTGCAATGGGCTATTGATGATTTTGTTGTKGTTTGACAGAAGCATGGGCATCTTGCTCTCACTTGGTAGGCATGGGCTTAGAACCCAGTGAAGGAAGGTCTGACTCTAGTGGGCAGTGAGGAGGGCACATAATGGTCAGGGCCTCTTCTCACTAAGGCCAGCTGCTGCCCTCTCAGCAGGTACCCTGTGGAGGTGCCTCCACTGCAGGGAGTTCAGGCCACACCAGGAATTCTCTTGTGCTCCATCAGCGATATACTCCTTCCTGCCTCCACAGCCTCCAGAGCAACATGATCAAGGATGATGGTGCCAGGTCCATGGCGGAGGCCTTGGCCTCCAACCAGACCCTCTCCCTGCTGCAGTGAGTGAACACACCTCCCCTCTCTTCTCCCACCTCCCCTCTCTCCTCCCACCTCCCCTCTCTCCTGTTTGGCCTCTTCTTTTCCTGCAAGGAGAAATGGATGGAGTGAGGCTGAAGCTTTCTGACCCCTCTGGATGGCCCCAGGATAACTTGATGCTCACTGCTTTTCCAGAGAATAGTTGTGGGGAAATTACTGGAAATAAAACCTCTTGTCAAACCAGAAAGCCCTCTCCACAAACGTAGGAATGAACACAACAGTCTTATTGTTGAATAAGCATTCAGGACTGCAGTGCACATTGTAGGCAATCTGCTGCTGGCCTTTTCTGCAGCCCAGCAGRTAGGACCCATCCCTTACTCTCTCAAGATAAATGACAACTTATAAGAAAACACAACATCATTTTTTTTTTTTTTTGGTAGTACTAGGGATTGAACCCAGGGCCTCATGCATGCTAAGCAAGTGCTCTTTTTTTTTTTTCATTTAGCCTTTTAAAAAAATATTTGTTTTACTTGTTGATAGTCCTTTATTTTATTTATGTATTCATATGTGGTGCTGAGAATCGAACCCAGTGCCTCACACATGCCAGGCAAGTGCGCTACCACTGAGCCCCAGCCCCAGCCCCAAGTAAGTGYTCTTCTTATTTTTATTTTGAGACAGAGTCTTGCCAAGTTGACCAGGTTGACCTCAAACTTGCAATCCTCTGGCCTCAGTCTCCTAAGTAGCTTGATGAMGCCATTTGTCACTTATAGCTTATGCTAAAGTCACCAAATAATTGGGGGTGATCATCTATTTCCCCAGTTGCTTTTATCTAAGGGAAAAATAAAAATTTTTCTGTCTTTATGACAAGCAGGTACTCACAACAGGTGCCCAGGCTAATTCCCACAGAAGCAGGAAGACAGGGACCATCCCCTGCTAGATTTTTACCTGTATTGAGACCCTGAGAAAGACATTCCTAGGCTGTGAAATGGGCAGGAGGTTGATTGAGCTCGTAAAGAGACTCGCATATTTCTCAACAGGACAGAGAGTACTTGCAACCTCATGTGTCCTCTAAGAGAGTGGGGGTTGTCTCTTTCCTTTTTGGAAGATTACATTTTTTTTTAAGGCTAGTATTTGGCCTCATGTAGGAGGCTCTGTCCTGTTGATCCTCCTGTCCCTCTCCCCAGAGGTTCTCAAGGGGGAAGGCAGGCTACTGGCTGGTCTAGATGGAAGACTGACAGATGAGGGCCCAGCAGATCTTGTGCATGTAGGTCCCCCATGCAAGAGGGTGCTGGCGCTATCAGCAGCCACTGATTRCCACTTGCAGGCAACTTACGTGGGAGGCCCCAGCTGCTCTTGTCCCTTGTTCTCCCACATGAAAACATCACCAGACCCTCTGAGACCCCTTCCCACTGCTGTACAAATGGAGACATGCTCCAACTTTTCTCTACCTCTTGCCCTGAACCTAACTGTCCTTGGCCTGGCAATAGCTGTGGTCAGATTTGCTGATGGACCCCTCTTGTCTCCCACAGCCTGCAGAAAAATAGCATTGGGCCCACGGGAGCCCAGCGGATGGCAGAAGCCTTGAGGCAGAACAGGAGTCTGAAGGAGCTCATGTGAGAAACACAGAAGGGCCAAATTGGTATTCTCAGTGCCCAGCACAAGACYAACCATCCTAAATATTTGTGGGCACAGGCATGAATAGAGAGATGGGAATATGGTTGGAAGGGAAGATGGGAGGATGGTGAATAGATGGATAGATGGATGGATGGATGGACTAATGGATAGATGCAGGACAGCTGGCTTTTTGATTACAAAGCACTGGGCCAGAAGAGTGGAGACCCAGATGTCCAGGATGGGGTGACTGCTCACCTTCTCAGGCTCATGCTTACTGCCTTCCCAGCTGGTACATTTCTTAGTAAACTTCACATTAAAGTACCACCAAAACCTCTCGCTAAGGGTCGATACTGACCTCCTGCCCTTGCCAGGGAGTCAAGAAGAAGGACTTTGCTACCTTGATCTTTTACAGGGATAGGGGGTCACTTGCAAAGACCACAGATTAACCGGACCCAAGCAGAGCAAATTGCCCTGGGCACCCTTGAGACAGAAGAGGCTGCTTCCCCTGAAGGCTTCCCTGGGCCCTGATGCCCAGGTCTGGCTCTGTGCAGCTGCTGCAGGAGGCGGGCTCACCCATGTCTCTCTCTTGCAGGTTCTCCAGTAACAGCATTGGTGATGGAGGTGCCAAGGCCCTAGCTGAGGCCCTAAAGGTGAACCAGGGCCTGGAGAGCCTGGAGTGAGTCTGCCTGAACACCTTCYAGGGTGATAATCATTCCCGGGCTCTCCATCTAGCAGAAGGCTGTCTGGTAGTGCCAGAAGAAGGCTGCCAGCCAGCACCTCTTCCCTGCCAGAATCCTGCTAATTCCAGCCCTGAGTGCATTCTGCTCTCCTTGTCCATCAGCTCCATGTCTCTGGACAGTAAGGCTGGGGTTACCTCTAGTTTCCAGAACAAGTTCCCAGTGCTCTTGATAAGTGCGCAGATGAGGAGGGAGCTGGCTGCCACAGCCTTGACTGGACAGGGGGTGCTGAGTGACTGCTGAACCATACTCTTTGGGCCGCAGAAGCAACGTGCCTTCCTCTGAGGACATGTGGAGCCACCCATGTCAAGGCAGAGTCTAGACCTTGGTGCTTGTGCTAAACCTACCTACCCTGACCTGGCAGGGGCTAGAAGGTGGGGCAATGGGAGGAAAGAGGGATGAGAGCAGCAATCTCCAGGCTTCCCCAACCCGGAGCCTGTGGCCTCAGGCTGGACTGGACAGCTTTCTCTGGGTCCTGGGACAGCCATGACACCACATTCTGTCTGCAGCCTGCAGAGCAACTCCATCAGTGATTCGGGAGTGGCCATGCTGATGGAGGCCCTTGGTGTCAACCAGACCCTCCTCAGCCTCAAGTAAGTCCTGGATTCCCTCCCACCCAGGGTGTCCTTTTGACCAGAGGCTATGCAGGAACTCTGGGATTTGGAAAGAAGAGCTGGTGCTGGGAAGCATGTTATGGGGAAATCTGTGGCTGGGGCAGGCTTGGCTCTGAAAACTGGGCACCCTGCTCCTCTTGAGGGCAGGACATAGTTGTGGCCCTATGGGCTGCTCTGCTGCTCCCTACCCATGTGCAAGCCCTTCAGGTGCCCAGCATGCTCACCTGCCTCTTCCCTTCACACTTCTGAGGTCCTGTCATCCTATCCTCTTCCTCCTGGACGTTCTTGTATGGTCGTTAGTCCTGAGTGGGGGCACCTGGCTGGCAGCCCTGGCTTGGAGCCCTGGTTTGCTAGAACTGGCTCCTTCATACCTCGGCCAGCACCTCTTCCCTGCCAGAACCCCACTAATGCCAGCCCCGAGTGCATTCTGCTCTCAGTCTCTGACCTCCATCCCCTTGTCCAGCAGTTCCATGTCTCTGGATAGTAGGGCTGGAGTTACCTCTAGTTCGGCCCAGGATCCACCTGAGGTTTCTTAAGCTTCAAAAAACCTGGGTGTATCTGCCACTAGAGGTCTCACCTGCCTTGTAGGAAGCTCAGGGTCTTCCCTTTCTTTCTTAGCCTTCGAGAAAACTCCATCAGTCCTGAGGGAGCCCAGGCCCTGGCTCATGCTCTCTGCATCAACAGCACTTTGAAACATCTGGAGTACGTGATGGGGCCAGGGAGGGTGTGGGGAAGGGGGTAGAGACTGGGCCTCCTTGGGATCATTTGTGCCACAGCCTCCTCGCCCACCCAGAGCTCAGAGCTGGTGGGCACCATTGTAATGGGCCAGGCCCTCAGTACCCTCACCATTTTACAAGGCTGAAGAAGGACCTGGATGGGGAAGAGGCAGCCCTGGTGACTGGTGGCAACCCTCACACGAGCCCTCCCCTACATTGTGGTATAAATGACACAATTGACGACAGGGAGATACTCTGCTGGTCTCCACTGGGGATGAACCAGCCGAAGGGAGGGGACTCAAGAGTTGATGTGGGGTCWTAGTATTGAGAAGCAACCCCCAGGGCAGCTCCACCACATTCTGGCCAGCTGACCTGTCACTGCACCCACTGAGCTGAGCCTGGGACCTGCCCCTGGGTTGTTTTCAGGATTTGGTAYGACACTCCCCAGGACACCAAAGTTCTCACAGATATAAGCCAAATAACTAATATCAGCACAGACTTGGGTGGTCCTTGGGAAGAGGGGGAGTGGGTAGAACTCCCCAGTGACCAGGGACAGGCAGCTTCAGGACAGGTTCCCATTCACTCGTTTCTTCTCCCTTTTCCCAGCCTGACAGCCAACCTCCTCCATGACCAGGGTGCCCAGGCCATTGCAGTAGCAGTGGGAAAAAACCACACCCTCAAGTCCCTTCAGTGAGTCTGTGCCCCACCCCAGCACCCATGCCCCTCTGTAGAGCTGCAGGACTACTCCCAAAGGGCCACAGACCAAGCCTGGCTTYGGGACACCCTCACCTGGGTCTCAGGGGCTTTCCAGGCTGCCCATCTTCAAGTAATATGTGCCCCCTCTCCATGGTTCTGATTCCTGAGGCTGATCCTCAGACAACACAACTGTGGTGGGAGATGGGTGCCACCACGATGCCCTGGGAAGCCATGCTTTATGCAGGGACTGTCTGGAGAACATTTAAGCTTGTCCCTGTGGTCACCACTAGTAGAATATATGCTGACCCTTTGGGAACTAAGCCTGAGGGGAGCAGCAGGAATCCTCTTGGACTTATCCTGCTATCAGATCCTCTAGAAGCTTCTGGAGCCTCCTTGGCTCTGCCCCTGAGCCACGTGTTCATGTGTCTGTCTGCTTAGCCTGCAGTGGAACTTCATCCAGGCCAGTGCTGCCAGGGCCCTGGGACAAGCACTTCTGCTCAACAGCAGCCTGACCAGCTTAGAGTAAGTGTGGCCTGCAGGGACTAAGGGGAGGTGGGRTAAGCAGGGAGGTCTAAAACCTCAGAGTCCCCAGGCACAAGGCTGGTGAATGGATGACCCTTGGTGGTACAGAGCTATCTCTGCCCTAAGACCAGCGGGCTTTTTTCAGGCCTCGCCTGTTTATCTGTGTATCTGTTATATAGAGATATATAGCAGTTTTACTGGGACATAATCCACATACCATAAAATTTGCCCATTTTATTTATACCAAATAAAATGTGTACATGCACACAAACATATTCTGCCATAAGAAGGAATGAAGTACTAACACACGGTGCAACAGCAACATGGATGAACCTGGAAATGTACAATAAACACAGGTGTGCTGGGGAGCTCAGGGGTAGTGTGCTTACCATGATCCAGGCCCCRGATCCAATCCCCAGCACATACACACACACACAAAATTGTAAAACCAGTACCAAGATCATCTTAGAAGATTTCTCTCATCCTAAAATGAAACCCATACCCATCAGCGCTCTCCATTCTCCTTCCCGCATCCCTCAAAGATGAATCTATCTGTCCCCTGGATCTGCCTATTCTAGACATTTCATCATTCCACATAAATCCARTCATACAACATGTGATCTTTTGTGACTTTTTTAGAGCCCCATCTGCTTCTGCCCTGACAATTCTCCCTCRGCCTCCAGGATACTCTCTCTCTGGATGGTCCTCCTCAATCTTCCCTTCTGTTCCACTCTGATTCTGGGGCTCTTTGGGGTTCTGGCCCAGACCCTTGTAATGACATTCTTTTTCTGAGTTTGCCTCCTCTCCTAGGGCTCCCACTGCCTTGAGAATTCCAATGACCTCCACATCAATATTCCAGCTCTTAAGCCCTGTGGAATTCACACCTTGGCCTGTCCCCTCAGTGTCCCACAGGTAGAGCAGGATGCTGCATTCTTTCCCACAAGCCTTTCTGGTTCCCCATCCGGCTCCTGGGACAAGCTACTATGCAAGCCAGAGCACCACACTTGCTCCTTCCTCCATTTCCAGCTCATCTCCAAGTCCTGTCCATTCTCCCTCGTGGTGTCCCTCCCCTCTGTTTCCCCTCCACTGCCAGCATCCAGGCCACATCCCTACTCACCTGCTTCCCTGGCAGCCATCCCCTCAGGCTGCTGAACAGTGTCCCCACCTGGGTGAGATCCTTCAGTGCTGTCCAGTGCCTGCAGTGAAGTGTTACCCTGCAGCATGGCTTACCAGGCCTGGAAAGATCTATTTCCTTCACACTCCCCAGTCTTTTTTTTTTTTTTATTTAACTTTTGTTTACTTGTTATTTATTTTTTTAAATGTGGTGCTGAGGATCGAACTCAGGACCTCACCTGCCTCACCTGTCCTAGGCAAGCACTCTACCTCTGAGCCACAACCTCAGCTCTCCCCAGTCTTTTGTTTCTCACCACTCTAGGAACTCRGCTCAATTTCCCTGGGCTCCTCAGAGGTGCCAGGCCCTCCCCACCCCTCATTACCTGTGTTGGTTCAGATCTGTCTCTGGGTACCACACTGGGATAGGAGACTCCATTGGCCTTCCCTGCAGCTGTACTTAGCTAAACTACTCATTTAATTGAAAATTCCAATCTGAGTTCCAACAGGGTAGAACTGCCTTTCCTGCCTTGCACATATCCAGCACACAGGGCATGCTCAAATATAATGAATGCAGACTGATCACTTTACATGCCATATCCACTTGACCTAAACTCAAGTCATTTATCGTGCCAGTGCCTGCTATTTTCCTTGAATTTTGAGGAGTGGTGGTTATAAAACCCTATCAGCAAGAATGGTCTGGAGAKTGAGAGCTTTGAGTTAGTTTCTGGTTGGCTTTGAAAAGCATTCCCCTTTTGGTCCCGAACCCTTGTTATCAGCAATTCCCACGTGTTCTTTCCTGGACTCTGATGGTTTGTTCATGGCTGGTGTGTAGTCTGAATTGAATCTGGAAGGCCCAAACACAGCAGGTCCTTCCTACAGTGCTGGCCCGTCCCTCTGTGCCTGAAGAGGTCACTCTGTTCAGCTTACAGGAGAACGCCATTGGGGATGAGGGAGCTTCTGCGGTGGCCAGTGCGCTAAAGGCAAACACAGCCCTCACTGCTCTCTAGTAAGTCCCTGTGGTGCCAGGAGCCCAGGAGCCCAGCTCCTTCACCATCCTCTCATGCTGCCCGCCATCTTTGTTTACAGTCAAGAAAGGTGTGTTTGATATCAGTAACTGGGAAATCAAACACCTAGAGGCATGAATTAGGGGTACMATGTGTCCTCCTCCAGTAAATCCAGGAGATTGCTTCTGCTTTCTGCACCCTGTGTCCAGACCTCCGTCTCAGGCATCAGGGTGTAGGAGGGAGACGCAGTAGTATTCTCTGGACAGGTCATAGACCAACAATCTGCAGTGCTGTTTTTCCACTTCTACTCCCCGTGAAGGGTGGACCTTTTGGAGGGAGGCCTTGCCTGCCTACACTGATTGCCCCTCCCCTTGTAGCCTCCAGGTGGCCTCCATTGGTGCACCAGGGGCCCAGGCGCTGGGGGAAGCCCTGGCTGTGAACAGAACGCTGGAGATTCTTGAGTGAGTATTCCTGTCTCCGGCAAGTCTTTTGCTCAAAGAATTCAAGCTATGGATTCATAGTGGATACCAATTGACACGGAAACTCACAGATGATCTTCAGTATTTCAGGTCATGTGTACCCCAGCGTCTCTATTCCCACTCCCTGYCCTTTTCCTGGAGTCACTAGTTTGTCCTGCTCTTTGGGTTGGCCTTGCCCAGGCTAAACATGTGTGGAGCCCCTGTTTAGGTCTCTGGTAGCAGTGGCCATGGATCCTGGTCTCTGAGAAGGTCCAACCCCTGGTGAGGGAGCTTAAGCACCATGAAGCTCTTGGGTGTGTCCAGGTCATCCTTGCTCTTATGGTTCCCTATGAGRCTAAGCTGGTCACTTGCTGGATGGAGTGCTGCATTGTCCATCTCAGCCCAGCCTTTCTTGGAAATGTAAAAGGACAAGGACTCCAACAAAGCACCCAAGTCTGGGCTGGCCTCAACCCCCTTCGTGTTGTCCTGCTCCCTAGAGCCCAGCCTGGTTCTAGTGCCTAAAAATGAGGAAGGTGCAACCCTCACCTCCAGTGATTGCCGAAGTCCAAGTAACCCCACATCCACCTGGAGAGATGCCATTGTCACTTCTCAGCCTGTCCCTGTACCTTAGGTGTCCTGTTTTTCCTGACAGCTTACGAGGAAATGCCATTGGAGTGGCAGGAGCGAAGGCCCTGGCCAGCTCACTGAAGATTAACTCCAGTCTCCGAAGGCTTAAGTGAGTGGCTGTCAAACCTGCCTGTGTCCTGGAGCAGCATACTGCTGTGCTGGATCTTCCCCGTGAGCTAAAATGCTCCTGATTTCCTCTAGCTACTCCTCTGACTATTAAAGTCCATACCCTTTGTCGGTGGCTTTGTTCCTTCTGCTTAAGTCAGAAATCACTTAAAATCTGCACTTAGGGTCTTGGGTGGGGCAACCTGGCTGCTGACAGACACCATCATGGTCAAATGCCATCTCACAGTTGTGGCACCTACAAACAAGTCAAACCCAGAACTGCTTGTCCTCCTTGCCCCCAATAAGGTAATGTCTCCTTAGGCATTTCTCTGGTCCTGATGACTCACTGTAGTGACTCCATCTTTTCTTTGCCTAGTCTTCAAGAGAACTCCTTGGGGATGGATGGGGCCATATGCATTGCCAGTGCTCTGTCTGGGAACCATGGGCTGCAGCACATCAAGTGAGTAGCTTCACTAGCACTGGCCCTTTCCACTTTTGCCCCACCTTCAGAACTGATCCCAGGTCAGGCCCTGCCTTTAGCTCAATTCTGGGAACCAGTGCCCAGGCCTCCCAGCAGCTCCACAGAGGAATGCATTCTAAGGAGGAGGCAGCTACAGACTCATCTGTGGTAGGGACTGTGGAAGCACAAAGGTTCCTCAGTTGCTATGGTGACCACTGCTCTACTCAAGGGAACGGGTGGGTGCTGAGGCCTGTCCTAACCCTTCTCTTCTAGTCTCCAGGGAAATCAAGTTGGGGACTCTGGTGCCAGGATGATCTCAGAAGCTATCAAGACCAAAGCTCCCTCATGCACTGTGAAGRTGTGAGTAAAGCCAGTCACTGGTGGAGAGGATGGACAGACTCCAGAGAATGAAAGCTTCTGAACAGAAAGTGATCTCTGGGCACAATCCTGCATTCTGGGAATGCTGCTGACCCAGTACAAGAGCTGGTCTCCTGCACAGAGGAAAAAAGGGTGCTACAAAGGAGGTCTCAGGCACCTTTTCCTAGCCCAGGGCAAGTCCTGACAATGGTGGATAGAAATTCTGCAATGGTAGAGAGAAGGAGCTGCTACCAAGGGACTTGAGGACAAAAGTCTCAAAGTTCATCAATGTAGGGAGTTGGTTCCACGTTATTTATATCCAAAGTATTTAAAAGTCCCAACTTTGAACAAATTTAGCTGGGTACAGTAGTATAATCCTGTAATCCCAGCTAACTGGGAGGCTAAGGAAGGAGGATGGCAAGTTTGAGGCCAGTCTGGGCAAGTTAGCAAGACTCTGACTCACAATAAAATTTAAAAAGGGATGGGGAGGTAGCTTGGTGGTASAGCACTTACTTAGAAGTGTGAAGCCCAGGGTTTAATTCCCAGTACTAACACACCCACCCTTTTTTCCCCTTCATCTGATGAAAAAAATCATCCCTTTCTCTGGAATGAGTTGCCATCTTCAAGTCCACGAAGGACATAAGTTTGGCAGGGGTGACAGTGGGGACCTTTCTTCCCTTTCTTAAGAAGGAAAGACTTTTGAGTGATCCTTATAGATATAGAAAAATTAAAGGAGATTTGTGAAGATAAATGAAGAATTTAATTCTAAGATTTTGGAGATGGAGACGAAAGTCTCCAAGGGTTCTGCCAGTTTTGATTCACTCTACGTAAGATCTCTTGGACAAGGATGATGTCTGCCACATTATCTGAAGTCTGGCACACTGGTTAGTCAATGCTGGTTCCTTGATGTTGTTATCCTGTGTTAGGCTTCCAAAGCCTCTCCTGTGGGTATGGCTTCCCTACAGAGATAAGCAAGCTGCGCTTCCATGCGGCAGAATTCCGTAGCTATCTGTCTGGATTGAAAAGGGAAAATCCAAACAAACATCATAGCACTCAAAAACTAACCAACCAAGAAAAATGCTTATGAAGACCATTAAGTGATTATCACTTATAATTGTGAGAAGATATAACTGCCATTCAAAATATTTACTTAAAAATAGGTATCCACTGTGGCTCAGTAGTAGAGCACTCACCTAGCATGTGTGAGGCACTGGGTTTGAGCCTCAGCACCACATAAAGATAAATAAAGGTACTGCCCATCTACAACTAAACAATAAAGATATTTTTTAAAAGTTTATTTATTTATTTATTTATTTTTTAAATATAGGTATCCAGCCAGGTACAGTGTTGTAATCCCAGCAACTTAGGAAGCTGAGGCAGGAGGATTGTAAGTTCAAGACCAGCCTCAGCAATTTAGCAAAATTTAGTGAGACCTTGTCTCAAAATAAAAAATAAAAGGGCTGGGGATATGGCTCAGTAGCTAAGTCTAATCCCTCATACCAAAAAAAAAAGCAAGGGCATCCAGAGTCGTCATGGATGTTGACCCTGAGAGGCAATGCTGCTATTTATAAAGGGGAAGAGGTGCCTTAGGAACTTGAAATCTGACATATGCTACCTTAACATCACATCAAGGGACAAATGGCCAGCACATTCCCTGATGCACTGCCTTTAGGACATAACAGCTTATGTAGCTTCTTGCCAAAAATGTTCATCTGAACCTAATCATGAAAGAATGATGTCACAAAATCCAAATTGAGGGCCATTTTGCAAAAGCAGCCCAACCTCTTAAAAAATATCACTGTTATGGTAAACACAAAAGGCTGGAGATTATTTTAAACAAGAGATTAAAGAGGTCTAACAAATGTTAATGCAAAATCTTTGATTGGATCTTAGACTGTAGGAAAAAAATTCTCTATAAAGAACATTATTTGGAAATTGAAGACGTGAACATTGTCTTACATTAGAGATATATTTTTGTTGGGTACAGAATTCTACGTGACCGTTTTTTCTTTCAGTACTTTTAAGAGATTGCTCTATTGCCTCTTGTTTGCACTATTTTTACCTCAATTGAGAGCTCAGCAGAATAGATAAGAAGGTAGCAACCAAATGCTGGAGAAAGCCACTCCCTGCAGAAGCTGAGCACTGGAGAAGTCGGAAAGGCCAAAGCTGTGGAGAATAAAAGGGTGTCCCTCTAGGGACTTGAGGCAAGCCTAACTTAAAACTAGAAGGCAAACCCCTTTTTCCACCCAAGCCTCCCCAGCACCCCACTGATAAGGCTTTATGGCATACTGGCTGCAAAGGAGAAACAAAGTCTGGCTCTATTACATCACCACAGAGCAGGCTGAAAAGGTAAATATGGAGTTGAGGCAATACACTGATAATAGAAAAAGTTTTTTTTTTTATTTTTTGTCTTTTTCCATTTTTAATTTTGGGCCATTTCTACTGCTGTGTTTTCAGGGTCAGCATGTCACCTGCTGTTAACTGCAAATCACACATTTTCATCTCAGGCTTTTTTAATCTCTGGAAGTTTTGTTTGAGGTGACCCTTGGGTCACAGCTCAGCTCTAACACTTCTGTTTTTCATGTTCTCATCCACTCCATTCTGGTTCTTGTTAACCTTGCCTCCTTTGAAATTTTTCTTTTTCTCTCATATAAAATTCTAGTGGAATTTCAGGAAGACAGAGGTAAATTAATGTATTCTGTCCATCATGTTTAACTGGAAGTTTCCCATTTCCATAAGTGAATTATACCCAGATGTACCTTCCTTACCTGCTATTCTTCCTGTATCTCTCAGGTTACAAGCATCCAAAACAAAACTCCCCTTCACCTTCAATCTCTCCTCTTCACCAGCCCTCCCTAGATAACAGGCTTCAAAGCYTGTCCATTCTCCTGAGGTCCCTTCTGAAAAATGAACCTAATTCTTGAGGCCATCACCAAGAGCTTGCTAACCCTCTTGCTGTCTTCTGTTCCAGTTTTTGCCAGAGTGATTTTTTTTTGGGGGGGGGGGAGATCTAGTCTCTGCAGGTTGCCATCTGCCTACAGAACAAAACACAACCTRTTCCTTAGCATGACAGAGTAGTTCCTTTGGATACTCCCTCACCATATGCTCTACTCTTCAGCCTTAATGTAATACTTATCATTATCACTCTGTAGAAAGGCTGTGCCTTTTGACCACTCTGTGCCTTTGTACATTCAGGCTCACTATGATGCCACATTTGACTTGTCTGTCTGATGGAGACTTACTCAGCTTTCAAGATGCAGTCCAAATCTGACATTCACAGAAATCTTGTGTCAACTCTTCCAGGCAAGGATAGTTGCTCCTTACTGTGGATTCCCATGACAGTATATAATATTCTTAACATGCATGCAACATACTGCATTATAATATTAAATCCTTTTTCTTTCTAGGTTGTCAGATGCTAAGACTTAATTATATTTGAATTCTCCAGGGTTAGCAAAGTGGCTGAAAACAGTAAGTGCTAAAAAAATGTTTGGTGCACAGAGGAAACAAGGACCAAGAAGCTCATCCATAGCAAAATGATCCCAAGGCCAAAAAGCTGGACAGAGTCCATGTGACCATATATTGCATTCCTGAAACTGCTACATTATTACTACTCTTTCCTCTGTATTATATGTTCACATCCTTAGAAAACAAATATTCCCTCTGAATCATTTAAATGTGCCATTCCTTTAACCACAAACTGGCCCAACTGACAGGGTCACTGATTACATTTTGTACCAGCCCTCCTCCTTTCACTCTTTAAGCAGACCACACCCTCTTCTCAAGCCATCTGAAACAGCTGGGGTTCAGTGTGTGATCACAGATACACCAAAGCCAGCTGGCCCACACAGACCCCATCAGAAATAGTAGAGAAGAGAATTAATTCATATACCCAGAGAATGGATTTCTGTTTCAGGTAAGAGGTAGAAGCTTTGGCTCCTTTCTAATTCAATAAGTCCTGGATCCTAGCACCTGAGAGGCCCTTGGGTCCCTTTAACAGCTGTGATATTTACCTTGAGTGCTGCTAACCTAAATGGACACACCCTTCTTTCAAATATTTGACATCAATTAATTTAAAATGATAATGAAAGAAATTCATATTTCTTAATGTCCCAGATAAAATGGAAACAGTTCTTTGCATTTCCCATTGGAAGTCCCTGCTTATGTTTTTGGTTTCTGCATGGTACTGGGATCAAACCCAGGGCATCAAACATCTTGGCAAGTGCCCTACCACTGAGTTACATTCYCAGCCCCAATTTTGTTCTTAATGGCTACYGCCAATAAAAAGTAAAATAAAATAGAGGATTTGAAAATTTCTTTATATTTTCTGCAAATGCACATATTTTAAACATTTGAACAGGTCCTTTAATCATATAGTAAAAAAATTGCCAGCAATGACCAAAATGTTAATTTTTCATTGACCTAATCTCACCATTTTTTTCAGGGCCTGAGGTATGCTCAAAGCACCAGGCCACAAGATACTTATACATCTCTGACTCCAGGATCTGTCACAGGGACTGAAACACTTAATGACAAGGACCAACACATGCAGTTCTCTTTGTTATAGAACCTGCTCATGCAGTGTGGTATTGCACCATGGTGAGACTCTGCATGAAGTCAGCGAACCGACTGATGAAGGATGACATGGAAGAGGTGAAACTACAAACTGCCCTTTGCAGCTGCTGCTTGCATCTGTATTAAAAGCCCAGGGAAGTGCTGGGGAGTGATACTGGCCTAATTATATTGTTATACTGTGTGCATGTATGAATATGTAACAACAAAACCCACCAATACGTACAACTACAATGCACCAATAAAAAATGTGGGGTCAAAAAAAGCCCATTATAAGGAAATATCCCAGAAGGAAAACAGAATTTTCCTGACATAAGTCAGGTCATCAGGTAAGCCAAAACTGTGACATTTTGGAAAACAAGTGACTCTTCTGCCTCTCAGAAGCCATGGGGTCTGAGCAGCCACCAGGTTCCCAGCCYACCCATTTCCTCTTCAAGCTAATGCAGAACATTTCAAATTAAGGTAAATTAGCTTAATGCTAAGTGTTTTTTAKGAAAGATACATAAAATTTAGGAAGAGAGGAAAAAAGAGCAAAGATGACAAAAACATTTGTTACATAGTATCCTAAAAATTACATKTATCATATTAACCTGTGAAACTTTCTTGAATACATAAATATGAATAAACAAAATAATAATACTTTCAAGTAAACATAATACAAAAAATATGATATTAAATGTATTGTATTACAGGATAAATAACTTTAGAAATCTTAACTTTATGATTATAAAATATATGAAAGCTGTTCCATGATTTTCATATTAAGCTAACTCTACTGTGGCACAGTGGTACACACTTGTAATCCCAGCATCTTGGGAGGCTGAGGCAAGAGAATTGCAAGTTCAAGGCCAGCCTGGGCAATTCACCAAGGCCCTTCACAATTTAGTGAGACCTTGTCTCAAAATAAATAAAAAAGGTTGAAGTTTAGTTTAATGGCAAGGTATCCCTGGGTTCAATCCCCAATACAAAAACAAACAAACAAACAAATCCACAACCATAAAGCAAAAAACAAACTCCACCTGTCATTTTTTATTTCACAAACAGGGAAATTCTAGTGCTATTCCACTTAATTCTGGTTTATTTTCTTAATTAATTAACTAATTATTATTATTTTAAATTGAGGATTGAATCCAGGAGCACTCTACCACTGAGCTACATTCCCAGCCTTTTTTCTTTTTTGAGACAGGATATCACTAAGTTGCTGAGGCTGTCTGTGAATTTATAATCCTCCTGGTCCTTGGGAGTCACTGGGATTACAGGTGTGTGCCACCATGCCCATTGATTCTGGGTTATTTTTTTTTAAATGAGAAACATGAATGTATATTGGCAATGTTTCCTTAGTTGACTCCTTCTCCTAAAGAGACATGTGGGTTGGGAGATTCAGAGAAACTGTCTTTGTCCCTATATTATGGATAAATGTCTTGCCCAACTTTAGACAAGACCAAGGAAGGAGAGTGGAGTCCCGACCGCCACTGTGGCAGGAGTTTGGAATCTCTGAAGGGGTAGCCCAGGTCTGTGGTTCCCAAATTTAACTGGGGAAACAGAGGGGACTTTGATCTGAGGTGGATCTGACTCCCAGGGGAATGTCAGCTGTCAGAGAGAAACTTAACACATTCATAATCTAGAATATCTCTCTGTTGCCTGACTTCCAAGGATACGTGGTTTTCATCTAACTTAGCTACTATTTCAGAGAATTTTAGTTATTAAAATACATCTAGGCTGGGTGTGGCGGCACATGCTTATAATTCCACTGACTCAGGAGGCTGAGGCAGGAGGCTTGCAAGTCCAAGGGCATCCTTAGTAGCTTAGCAAGAACTTGCTCAAAAATAAAAAAATTAAAAAGGCTGGAGATGTAGCTCAGTGATAGAGTAAGAAATTATGAGAAGAAAAAAATAAATAAAGGCAAGAATTAAAAGCTGATATATAGTAAATGTTCTAAACTATGCAAGTGATTAACAAGCCAGATGYTCCCCTGTAACTCCTAAAACAAGTATTGTGCCAAGTTCCAACCCAAGATCTGCTGGGTTCTGAGAGGAATGTGTAATAATAGCAGCAGCCAAGACTTACACACTATCAGCCTGGTTTTGTCCTGTGGGTTTGAACTACTAAGAACACATGCATTTCCCAAGGTTTAGGAAATAAAGAAGGCAAAAGAAAAACATCTTTGGGGTTTGCTTCAGTTGTTGATTAGACTTTGTGGAATGCAAATACAAGATGATAAAGCAGAAAGAAGTAATGCTTCTTAACAATGAGCCAAGCTGGTGTAATGAACAAAATACAGGTTAACTTCCTTGCCATCTAATTTCCCATTTACCTACAAATCTGAGGCTTTTAATCTGCCTGGGTCCCTTGGCAAGAGGGTCAGAAGTCATTGTCACTCTCATCCAGGGGCTCAGGTTTCCGAACCCTTCGATTGGGCTTTGCTGGTGAGAGAGCAATGCTCTCGTCTTCCAAATCATCGTCATCTTCTTCATCATCTTCCATGTCAATTTCACTGTCCTCCGAGTCTTCCTATAGGAAAAAGGCAACAAATGCAACTGGGGAGCCCACCTTGTCCTGAGAGACCCTGCCTCACTGTTCACTGTAGCACCAGGATTAAGAGTACAGTAACCAGCAACAGCTGACACAGCGGAGGARCAGGGCAGCGCTGCAGTCAGGCATCGGGGCCTCAGCAGACACTGCCGGCTGGGAGACACCACGAGGTTCCTCATCCTACCAGCAACCTGAACACAATATGCAGCTGAGCTTGGTGCTGCAGGGGTTGGCTCACTACCGGTCACAAGGCACCCCTGTCTGCACACTAAGAGTCCTGGACACTGCTTGGCTCCTGGGGCACCAAAGATCCAATGGATAGCAAGGAGGAAGGGAAGGAAGGCTTGTTTTGGTTCCTTCCAGCTAGTGATGGAAAGCAACACAGAAAATGGGTGCAAAGAGCAAAGTGAAAGGCACACCTGCACCTCCATCATCTGGACCCAGGGAGACCAACTCAGGCCAACTTTAAAAGCGGATACACACACACACACACACATACACAGAGTAATTTTCTTCTTAAAGAAAAACAAAAACAAAAAGACAGAAACCTTACACTACCATCCTCTCATGTTACTCCAYCCTCCTCTTGGCTGAACTCTTTAGGAGAGTTGCTGAGCTCACTSTCCCACTCATTCCTCTCTCATGGATAGGCTAATGAGGCTCTCAGAAACCCTACCCTGCTCTCATCAATGGATTCCAACTAAACGGATTCACAGTGCTCACCTTGCTTGACTTATGGGCTCCATCTGACAGAGGATCACCACTCCTTCCTTGAAACCCACTCCTCTGGCCTCTTCCCCCAGCTCTAGTGCCATTTACTCTATCTCCCTTGCCTTACCCTCTTTGCTTCCTTTCTTCTCTTCCTGCTCCCCTGCTAAGCAATTTAYCTGCTCTCCTGGTTTCAATACCATCTACATATGGGTGGCTCCCCAACTCCATCTCCAGCTAGACCTATTCCTGAACAGACCTGAATTTCAACTGGCTATTCCATACTGACACATGGATGTCTAATAGGCAGCTTACCCTTAGAACATCCACAACCAAACTCTTGATCTGCCCTCCAAGCTCCTCCTCAACAGCCCTATCTCAGGAAAACAAAAAACAAAAAACCCTGCACTTAGTTGACTCAACCACAACCGAGGTGGCTTCCTCTCTCTTCAGCACCTATGTCCAACCCACTAACAAAACACGATGGCTCCCCCTCAGAAACATCTAGAACTTGACCTCCTTTAAGTACCTCCACTGCCACTCCCTGAGGCTGAGCCACTGTCACCTCTGACCTGCAAAACCATGCTCACCTCCTCACCAGTTTTTCTCATGGATGAGCTAACTCCTGGCTCTCTGGGGCTGTAGTGTTTGCTGGTCCCACTCAGGGAAAAGACTGGGTTCTCATGGCATCTGTGAAGCTCATGACCCCTGCTACCTCTTTCAGCTCCTAGCTAGTTCCCTCCATCCATCACATTCCACGGCCATGCTCCCTAGGCCCACATGCCACTCCCATGCAGTTCATTGCCTCCTTTCATTCAGGCCTCTGCTCAAATGTCACTGCACCAGAGGCCTTCCCTGACCATGGGGGGACATCCTMCCACCTTGTCTCTGTCACTCCATCTCCGGAACTTGCTTTGATCTCCCTGAGCATCCTGCCTGGCACACCTGAGCAATGGCTTTCTCCCATGAATGTTTTAACAGTGCATACTGCAGGTACTTAACAAATGGATTTTTAAAAATTATTATTTTTTTATATTTATTTTTTAGTTGTATACAATACCTTTATTTTGTTTATTTACCTATGACTGTGGTATATCTGCTTGACTTCTATCACTGGAACATACATCCTAAGGCATGTATCCCCTGCTGTATCCCCCAGAGCCCATAACAGTACCTGGCAYATAACAGGCACCTCAAATATGGCTGTTGAGTGGCTGAGCATTGCCTTGAAGAACCAAGCCCATGCTTGGGGGCTGTATGACAAGTGACAAGGCAAGAAAAGACCTGAGCTATAACTGAAATTTCATTCTGAAAAGGACACAAGCAAATCTAACAGGGACCAGATCCCCTGCCTTCTTGGCACTACTGGCTCCCAAGTCAGACTCAGTTTCAGACTCAGGTATGTAGGACAGATGGATGGAAGCTACCTCACCCTCTACGCCCTACCTGTTAAAAGTTATTTTTGAGGTACTTTCCCTGTTTCTTTACAGACTGCTTCCTAGGAAATCAAGACCTAATCCTCCATGTGCATCCTGCCTGGTACACCTGAGCAATGGCTTTCTCCCGTGAATGTTTTAACAGTGCACACTGCAGGTACTTAACAAATAAATCTTTTTTTTTAAATTATTTTTTTAATATTTACTTTTTAGTTATACCCAATACCTTTATTTTGTTTATTTATTTTTATGTGGTGCTGAGGATCAAACCCAGGGCCTCGCAAGCACTAGGTGAGCGCTCTACCGCTGAGCCACAATCCCAGCCCAACAAATGAATCTTTGTACAGACGCATAAGCCTCTGCTTCTGTCTCTGAATGGCCATCAGTGCTGTGCCCAGATACAGGTGGATTTCACAACAGAGCTGGTCTGGGGTCCAAGTCAGTTCTGACACCTTTGCCATGTGGGCCATTACTAGGGGTTCTCACAGGGTGAAGGCCCAGGGTGATGGTAGGACATCCGTAATGACGTGATACCTCTAGGACCCTCCTCTGCTTTTCCCTTCTAGTTAATTTCCCCAGTCAGTTATCAACCCAGTAAAGCCTAAGGTGATGTCTTAGCTCTTGCCCGGCCTGAGCCCTGGTCTAAAGAGAGCATTTTTACAATGTTCCTTACCCAGAAGGGAGCTGAAGACAGGGCTGGTCTTGGCTACAGCACTGTCCCTTGATTTCAGGGGCCTGCTGACTCCTAGCTACAACCTTTCCCATGTCTRGCCTTGGCACTTTCCCTTCCTACTGAGTCCAGGGACCTTGAGGCCTCTCTGCCTCTCACTGTGGGGTCTGTTCTGAGTGGTTTCTTGGCCAGCAGAGAGGAAGCATTGTCCCTGGGAGAGGCTCTGCTGGCTGAATGGGCTGACATACACCAACAAACAGACGAGGCAAAAAAGAAAACCAACCTGCTTCCTGGAGCTGGGAGTCTTGCATTTACCTAAGAGAGCTGGTGCTGCTTCCATCTTTGGAAAGCGAGAATGGAAAGAACAGTAAGAAGGCGAAAAAAGTAGGGCAAGCAAACTGTGTGAAATGAGAAATGAGCTMTCAACAAGCAAAGAGGAGCTTAGCCCCTTAGTAGGCCAAACTTTGCCCCCAATCAGTAATATACTGGCTGGGAACAGACAGCCCCCTGGCTGCCAGCAGCTTCCTGAGCTAAACTAGTCTCTGAGGACAGCCCAAGACCAGAAAGTACAGAACTGCTTGGGGGGCAGGATGCAGGCAGTTGGTTGGGACTCACATCGTCATCAGAGTCTCCACCTTGCATTGTGCCCACGACGCGTTTGCCTGGTCTTCCTGGAACAACAAAGGCATGCAAGAAACATGAAACTTTGGCAAGTAAGGCAGGAAATGGCATCCAGAATTTGTTCTCCCTTAGAAAACTGAGAAAAAGAAGCACACTAAAAACTCATYTAATCAGCATCCAACTGACCAGAACTGTCAGTAAATAGTAATGGATACCCCATACTTCTACTTTGAAGGAAACAAGAAAGGCAATAAAATATAAACATGAGTAATCCCAGTGAATTCAAAGGCTGAGGCAGGAGGATTGCAATTTCAAAGCCAGTCTCAACAACTTAGTGAGACCCTGTCTCAAATTAAAAAATTAAAAAAACAGGGGCTGGTGCTGTAGCTCAATGGTAGAGCTCTTGCCTAGCATGTGTGATCCACTGGGTTTGATCCTCAGCACTGCATAAAATATATATAAATAAAATAAAGGTATTTTGTCCATCTACAACTAAAAAAAATTTTTAACAAAAATAAAAAAAATAAAAAGCTAGTGATGGGATGTAACCAGTGGTAAAGTGCTACGGGTTCAATCCCTAGTAACAACAAAAAATATATAACCAGGCACACAAGTATGTATATGTGTATATGTATGTATGTATGTATGTATATATATATAAAAAAATGTGTGTGTCTGTATACATATGTGTGTATATATATATATATATATACACACATATATATATACAGTGTGTGTGTATGTGTCTGTATATAAAAAACAAAACAGGAAGGCTGGGGGTGTAGTTCATCAATAGAGCAATTGCCTAGCATGTTCAAGGCCTTGGCTTTAATCCCAGCAGCACAAAACACAAAATAACCATTTATTGTGAATTAAAATAAAATTTTAAAAAAGCACCCTGAGTGTTTTAGGAAAATTAATGAATTCCATTATTAGTTTACATGCAGTGGAACTGGCATGCTAGCTGTTGAAATATATCTTCCTTTAAGGACCAATGCCACTTGTATTTGGATCTAGGTCTGAGCTTTGAAATGAAAAAGTTAAAAAAAAAGTTAAGCACTACAATTAGTAATTCATCTTTCAAACATCATTATTATCTCAGAGATTCTCTTCAGAAGTCAACAGTGTTTAGATGTGACACCTGCAAAAACTCAGGGACTGTCCTTTACCAGGAGGTGGGGCAAGGGAAAGGAGCAAGCATGATTCCCAGCCAGGTCCATGTGAAAGGCAGCTTGGGCAGTGCATTGGGAGCACACTTGGGACAGGCTGAGATGACTGAACACTATTTACAGACAAAATGCAAAAACTTTCTCAAAGCCCTTTTTTAGCTTCTAGAACTGAACTCTSTGATTTTACTCTGCAGGTAAAGTAGTCAACAGAATTTAGGAGAACCAATGCTTTACACATGTCTTTTTACATCCCTGGCTCCTATCCATCAAGTGGGAGTCATAATCTCTAATCTCTACTTATGCCAAAATGCTTCTTTTTTTTTAAATTATCTTATGAAATAATATAATATATAATGAAATAATAAATGAACAGAGCTAGGCTAAGAATAAGAGAAAGCAGCTGACAACCAAAGTTAATTGTAAAATGATGAAAGGACAATGATTCATCCTTAAATTTATTAGGTATAAAAATGCAACTGTACTCCAAACATTAAGTGGTGGTAGATAAGAAATGTATTTAAAGGAAAATACAGGTCAATTTAGTAACACCTATCAAAATTAGTTTATAGATGGGGCTGTGGTTGTGGCTTAGTGGTAGAGCACTTGCCTAGCATGAGTGAGGCACTGGGTTCGATCCTCAGCACTACATAAAAACAGATAAAGGTTTGTGACCACCTAAAATTAAATATAAATATATATATATATATATATATATATATATATATAGTTTATAGAACCTTTGGCCTAAGAATTCCATTTTTTTCATGATGCAATCTGAAGAAACACTTGCAGAAAGAAGTATACATAAGAAAGAGTAGAAATAAATGTCAAGTAAATGACAGAGTATGCCCAACTTAATTAGGAGTGTAGTCATACCACAGAATATGATGCAGTCATTAAAAAAAATGAAGACATGGGGAGAGTCACAATGTATTTAATCTTAAAAACAAAGGCAACTTGCAGAATCATACAWAAGGTCTGGTCCCATTTAGGACAAAGAATTTTTGAGGTGATCTCTGCACCCACATTTGATTCTATGTGTGTATATGTACGTACAAGCTTGTATGTGTATGTGTAGGTACAGAAAGGCAATTTGTAAAGACACGAACCCCAGCCACTAGCTGTGAACCCTCTATGGTGGGAATGGGACATGAGGAAGACCCCAGGGGAGCATCCCATCTRCATCAAAAATCCTGTTGCTAGGATCTTTGCAATTAGAAGGCAGAAAACAGAAGAACATTTTTAAAGGCTGAGGTGGTCATGTAATCCCTTCTCATTGCATTAACTTACTAACTATAATGGGTGCAATTGCACTAAGAGCAATTTAAGACTGAACATGGGAAGAATTGAGCTCAATGGCAGAGGCAGTGTGTTCCCATGGCCTCTGTGAGAAATGCCAGGCTATAAATAGGAATCATCTGCTCTCAGGACTGCAGGTAAAAGTGTTAGAAGCAACCATGACCACTGAGCAGTTTAAGAGCCAGATTCTGACAGACAACAGAGAAGAACAAACCTGGGGCAAAAACTGCTTCCAGGGACCATTCATGGTCCACTGTGTACCTTAATATTAAGCAGCCCTGATCCAATCCTGGCCATSGTGTTCTGTGAAACAGACCCAGGAAGTGGCACATGTGAAAGAAGCCATGCTACCTTGCATGAGCACCTCCATGGCCGTCCGTGGCTTGGACAGCCGCCGCTCCTCCAACTCACTGTCGGATTCATCGTCCTCCTGGATGTCTATGTCTGAGTCATCATTACCTGGTGGGAACACAAGCAGGCAGAATAAAAGAGCAAGTCCATCATTACAACTGAACAGCTTTTGTCTAGTAAGGGTCATGCACAAAAATTTTCTGCCCTTCCTATCCTTTCTCTGGATGCATTAGATTTTATGAGACTCCCTGGATCCACTTGTGTAAACTTAGTGCAGAGTTAATGCAGACAATAATGTGCCACATTTATTTTAAGCAATTTTCATGGCAAGAAAAAAGTGGGTCACATCTATTAGTTAGAAACACTAACAGTCTGAAATTTTAAAAACTGAGTAGCCACCTAACAAGGAAGGTGAAATTCTTGGTTCACTGAGAGAAAAACCACTCTCTGTTCAGTGTCAGGCCATTACCCCAACTCCAGCTCCCTGATCATACGAAGATGAGGAGAAGTAAGAAGAGGAGCCCACTGAAAAGACAGCTAAACAAGACCAGAGGAAGGAGKAGTCAGGCCAGGAGTGGCAGAGTGGGCTGTCTTGAGAAAGCTGGTGACCTGATGACTGGCAATGTGAGCTGGTGTGCATGATGCTGTTGTGGGCCAGGCTATATGGGCAATGACCAAACAGACTCCATTTTACACTGAGACTCCATGTCGTATAAAATGCTTCTCCCATGGGAACAYTCTGCCTCTGTACCTATCAATAGTTGCTTAGCACAGCATGTTTGATAACACAAAATGCCAATTCTTATACAATGTAAAACTGTTCTCTCTTTGACTCCCATTTTTCTTGGGAATGTACCCTGTCAAGAGATTGAYTGTCTAGATGTTAGTAACCATTCTCTAACTTGTACTCGGCTAGGGTCATCTGAACCCACTTCTCTTCTGCTTGCTTGCTTCTATGCCAGCCTGGACATCTGTGGGAAATTCCAATGTACCCATTGCATTATTTCACTAACTGCTCAATTCAGCTTCTGTACCCCTGCTTGCTTGTAGCTACATCAACCTGGATGTGGTTTTTGCCTCTAAAGACCCTGAAATGCTCAGGCTTGAGGCTRTTCCTTACAGAGACACTTATGGGTTTTGTGGGGAGTAGTCACAAAACTACTGTGACTACTTTTTATTTAATAAATAAATAAAAACTCTCCAATTCAGACAAAATGGACTTSGTACGTTTTCTGAGAGGTCTGCCCCATAACAATGCTCTTTTCTTCACTGAAGAAACTCCTTTATAAAAACACATCTTGGCTGGAGAGAGAAGCAGCTCAGGGGCAGGCTTAGCAATCCCTGGGCCTGGGTTCCATTTCCAGTGACAAAAAAAAGATGTATTTTTAAAACGTCATTTTCAGTGTAATAGCTCTTCGTATTAATTCTTTTTTTTTCTTTTTTAGTTGTAAATGCACACAATATCTTTATTTATTTTTATGTGGTGCTGATGATCCAACCCAGTGCCTCACACGTGTAAGGCAGGTGCTCTACCTTTGAGTCAAGGCTGAAAATGCCCCTCTTTATATTAATTCTTAAATACTTCTCTGGATTCTTGCAGGCTGAACACTACCTAAATGGAAACTACAGAAGGAAAGTCTCCATGGTGGGAATAAAAAGCTCTCCCCCAGTACCTGACTTCTCTATATCTAGGGAATGATGTGGATTTTGATGGGGTTTGTAGTTGCCTTTCTTCTTTTTTCCTTAGCAGTGCTAGGGATGGAACCTAGGGTGCTGCCTCCACTGACCTACATCCTCAACCCTTTATATTTTGGGACAGGGTCTAAATTGTGTAGGCTGGCCTTGAATTTGCCATTTTCCTGCCTCAGCCTCCCAAATTGCTGAAAATATTTTTGTACCTACTATCATCAATGAGATTATATACATTAAAAAGTTTACAGCCTGGTGTGGTGGTCTATGCTTATAACCCCATATCATCTGAAGGCTGAGGCAGGAGAAGCCCAAATACAAGGCCAACCTCAGCAACTTAGGCCATAAGCAATGTAGATACTGTCTCATAATAAAAAAATAAAAAGGGCTGAGGATGTGGTTCAGTGATTAAGCACCCTGGTACCCTGCCCCCCMMAAAAAAGTTTACAGGGTAGATCTCATATTAATCGTTATTACCATATATTTTTTAAAAAAGTGCTAAAAGAAAATATTTACAAAATAAAAACTAAGGTTAGAGAAAGTAAATGCAAATGTGTCAAGGCTGAAAATGCTAGTGCAGAACAAGCAGCTCTGTCCCAGCTYGGCCTTACTTCCACTCTTGAGCAGCCGCTTTTCCTCCTCCTTTAGCTTGTTCTGCATCAGGCGGAGAGTATTTTCAGCTTCCTGTGGGAAAGGAAAAACCATACTTAGAAGCCATGACCCTCTGCTAGACAGTCCTCTTCTCCTTTATCATGGAGTGAGCTCTGCTAGGTCTGTGATAAAGAACTGGGGAAGATCTAAACTTTCCTGAGCAACCCTTATAGTCCCCAAACCAGGGGCCCTTCCTCTCTGTGATCACCCAGCAGCCCTATGGAAAGGGCCTGAGAGGTGTACTGGGCCCCACGCCCTCTCACTCYTCCTGCTATACCGAGCAATACAACTGCTGCCATCACAGGTGCCATGTGGGCTGGCAGCCAGGACTGACAGGCATACGCCTCTTGCTCACAAAAGGTGGCACCAACGTTATTGTCTTTCTGCCTTGTGCCACCTCCACCACTCGTTTTGAGAGATGCCAATGGACAGGTCAGGACCTGAAAAGACAGGAGGTAACAGCAATCTTAGTTCCTGGCCCTGATTAAGCCAGGCCTGGTGACATACACCCATAATCCCAGCTCTTGGGAGGCTCAGGTGGAAGGCCAGCCTGGGTAACAAAGCAAGACTCCATCTCAAAAAAAACCAAAAACTGTGGCCTTGATTTGGAAATTAGTTTTCAAATTATTGTTGTTGATGTTCTAAACATTAAAAATAAAACACAGCAGTGGGGGCTGGGGTTGCGGCTCAACAGTAGAGCACTCGCCTAGTATGTTCGAGGCCCTGGGTTCGATCTCAGCACCACATAAAAATAGATAAATATAATAAAAGTATTGTGTCCAACTACAATTGAAAAATAAGAATTAAAAAAAAAATAAAGCACAGCATTCAGGTATGAGATATATTGAGGGAACAGGTGCCATAAGAACCCACAGCAGGAGTGAATGCAGAAYGGGAGGAGAGGACTTGCTGGAAGAAGGGGTAAGGGCATCCTCAGAAGCAATGTGGGCCAGGGGCTCTCCTTCTGAGGCATATTCTTCAGTATCTTCTCTGAACCCAGGTAAACAAAATGACCATTAAAATTTTTCAATTTAATTTTACTTTTTTTGTGGTACTGAGTCAAAATTTATTTTCACAGGGTTTTCATTGTGGTTTCCCAGATAGCCAATGTTTATAATGTCCTGAACTCCAGAATGTACCCATTCTATGCTGTTCCTGAATGGCTGCCCCTCTGCCACATAGCAGTGGTGGCAATGAGTTAGCTGAATCTAAAAAAAAATGTATTACACACTCCCAATCAGCAATCTCGGACAACAAAACTGCCTTACCTAACTGATGTGCACAGGCTTGTAAGATGGTCAGCATTCCCTTAGTACCAAAAGTCATCAGGGAGACTGTAGAAAGGGAGACTRTAGACCAACTTCACCTTGAACATCAGTTCTAACTGACTATTCTCAGCTTAAACAGAATATTTCTAAGAGTCAAGTCCAATGAAAACATGACTGTAGCCTGGCACAGTGGCACACACCTGTGTTCCCAACTACTTGAGAGACTGAGGCAGGAGGATAGCAAATTCCAGCCTAGGCAACTTAGTGAGACCTCGTCTCAAAATGAATTTTAAAAAAAGGCTGGGGTGTGGTGATGTATGTCTGTAATCCCAGTGGCTTGGGAGGCTGAGACAGGAGGATCACGAGTTCAAAGTCAGCCTCAGCAATTTAGTGAGGCCCTAAGCAACTCAGCAAGACCCTGTCTCAAAATAAAATATATTAAAAAAAAAAGCAAAGAAAAAAAAAGTGATCACTGTGTACTCTATTTTCTTTTGCTTTGAAGCTCTGAATTTCACATTGATCAACTTGTGCTGATATCTAAAATACTCTTTCCTACATAAGACAGCTGTTCAGTTCTGGGTCACAATCAACCAATATAAAGCAATGAGCTAGTTTGGGTTGTTCAATTAATAAGGGCTTGAAAATCTTCAAGTGCACTGAGAATGTTTAGATCTAAAGACCACTTGCATAATTTGTGGGGATCAGTGCAAAATAAAATGCACTTGCAAATTATGATGTATTTCAAGATGGTGATAGCAGAGCAAGTGCAGGCCCTTTTTAAACACAGGGCTACATGACTGCACAGGTCCATGTTGTTCCAGTTTGTACTCCTGACCAAACACTGATAACACGACATCAAAAGAATCACATGAGCAACACTCAGATTAACACTTTTTTTCCACAATGATATCTACAAACTGACATATCACCAAGCACAAAACAACACGCCAGGAGGAGCAGYCTGCAGAGAACAGGCCAAAGACTCACTTCAAACCTCTCCTGCTCCATCCTGTGATGATCCTCAAGCTGCTGTTCCAGGTAAGCCAAATTTCGAAATTTTTCTAGGTAAACATCATAGTGCTTYTGCAATTCTTCCTCAATCTTCTCATACTCATCCATAAAGGCTGGTCTAAAATGAGCACATGAAGTTAAAAATGAAAGGTTAATTAATATACAGTGACTTGAAATTTTTATTCATATCCTGACTCCACCATGGCTTTCTTTGGAAACCTTTAATTACAGAAGGTTCTTTACTCTTGATAAGTGCTCAAGACTCATGTCCTTTTTCTCCTCCCTACCCCCTTAATAAGCCTTCCTTTCCCTTCTTTTCTTCCTTCCCTATTTTCTTTTCTGCGACTGAACTCAGAGACCACTGAGGTACACCCCAAGCCCTTTTTAATTTTATTTAGAGACAGGGCCTTGCTAAGTTGCTGAGGTGGCCTGGAGCTTGTAATTCTGCCTCAGCCTCCTGAGTAGCCGGGATTCAGGTATGTACTACAGGTGGAACATGCCTGCTACAAACTTCTTTTTAAATTACAAATAAGATGTTTATTAAAAAAAACTTGAAATAATCCTGAGTGTACAAAGAACAAAGTAAAAATTATTCATAATCTCATCACCAAGTATGTGTGACAGACATTTATTTTTTAGTTGTAGTTGGACAAAATACCTGTATTTATTTATTTTTATGTGGTGCTGAGAATCAAACCCAGGGCAAGCACTCTACCACTGAGCCACAACTCCAGTCTGGAATGTATTTTTTTTTTTTTTAAGAGAGAGTGAGAGAGTGAGAGTGAGAGTAGAGAGTGAGAGAAGAGAGTGAGAGAGAGAGAGAGAGAGAGAGAGAGAGAGAGAGAGAGAGAGAGAATGTTTAATATTTATTTTTTAGTATTTGGCGGACACAACAACATCTTTGTCTGTATGTGGTGCTGAGGATCGAACCCGGGCCGCACGCACGCCAGGCGAGAGCGCTACCGCTTGAGCCACATCCCCAGCCCCTGGAATGTTTTTTTTTTTAACAAAAATTAAATGTTGCTATAAATGAAGCTTTGTAGTTTATTTTAATATACTGCTGACTTCAATAAAGAGCTAAAAATAATTATATGCCTTATACAACTCTTAAAAATCATTAAGTTAAATATATTTTACAATTTTTTTTCCTGTGTGTGTGTGTGTGTGTGTGTGTGTGTGTGTGTGGTGATGGGGATTGAACAACCCAGGGCCTTGGGCATGTGAGGTAAGCACTCTACCAACTGAGCTATATCCCCAGCCCAATAAATTAAATATATGCATTGTTATCTTGGCTAAATATAATGTTCCACTGTTGGGATGTACCAAAGTTTAATGGGGTGCTGCAAATGAATGCAGTTTTTAAAACATAAGACTTACAGATAAACCATTACATAAAAACTTGTTTCAACAGAGTGTAGTGGCACTTGCCTACAACCCCAGTAGCTCCAGAGCTTGGGCAGGAGGTTCTCAAGTTCAAGATCAGCCTTAGTAACTTAGTAAGACTCTGAATTAAATAACAAGTAAAAAGAAGCCAGATGCARTGACACATGCCTATAATCCCAGCAGCTCAGGATGCTGAGACAGGAGGATTGCAAGTTCAAAGCCAGCCACAGAAACATTGAGGTGCTGAGCAACTCAGTGAGACCTGTCTCTAAATAAAACACAAAACAGGRGTGGGGGTTGAGTACCCCTGAGTTCAATCTCCCTGCCCCTGCCAAAAAAAAAAAGTAAAAAGGACTGGGGGTGTACTCAGTGGTACCCAGTACTGGAAAAAACAAAAACAAAAAACAAATCTGTTCAGAACTAAGGCCCTAGGTTTGATTCCCCAATGCTGCAAGCAAAAACAAACTCTGTTTCAACTAGTTGGTTAAACTTTTTCTCTTATTCTTGATCTTAAGGGAAAACTTTGTTCTTTCAAAAATACAAACATAGAGCTGTGCACCTGTAGTCCCAGCTCCTCAGGAAGCTAAGGCAGGAGGATTGCTTGCAGCCAGGACTTCAAAGGCAGCTTGGGCAAAACAGCAAGACCCCATATCTTAAAAAATAATAAATAAGTAAATACATACACATCCACACACATCACTGGGAATGGATATAACTTAGTGTTAGAGGACTTGCCAAGGAAGAATGAGGCCCTGGATTTAATTCCTAGTACCAAAAATAATAGTAATACATACATACACACACACACACACACACACACACAAAAAAAAAAAATACATGATATATATACCCACAAACTAAAAGTAACTTATAATCTCTTAAAATAGAACAAATAAACTTGTCTACTAAAGGATCTGGGCTTCAGCAGAATGACTTTATGCCTTAAGACAGAATTTGTCAATAAGACCAATTGAGGGCTGGGGCTGTAGCTCAGTGGTAGAGCGCTTGCCTTACACATGTGAGGCACTGGGTTTGATTCTCAGCACCACATAAAAATGAATAAATAAAATATATATTAAAAAAAAAGACCAATGGAGCTGGTGGTGCTATTTCAGGAGTGGAAGGAGAGTTGCTCCCCATGCAGTGGAGAGCAATGGCAAGGAGTGAAGGTTGGAAACAAGTGAAAAAGGTGGGCAGCAGCTCCAAGAAAACAGAAGMGCAATGACACAGCAGCCGTTCTGTACTTTCCTACCCTGCTCCCCAGAATCGTACTCCAGTGAGATCCAATCAGAAGGAAGCTGAGTTGCTAAAACATGAGGAATCGTCCAAATCTGAAAAGTCTACAATCTACTCAAACCAAGAGGTGGGAGTATGTTCTGTTTCTACCTAATTTAGGCAAGGTCTTAGGAGATGAAGCCTAGCGTAACTCCCACCATCTGGATTTACCTGCTCTACCTCATGATCCAAGCCACTTAAAAGGGTGGCTGAAGAACTCAGCTGTCTCCTAGACCCTGAGACTTGGGTGCAGCATGCCACCCCAAGCGCGACACCTCACAGGGGGTTCTGCTTGCTAYGGGAAAAGTCAAAGCCAGTGAACTCTGATCCTTTGTTATAGCTTTACAAGTCACCCTTCTACTTACTCAAGTGTTCACACCTACCTGACGCTCTGTAGAGTCTGCAGTCGCTTCCGATTTCTTTCCAGTTCTAATTTTCTCTTTTCAATTTTGGCTTCCAAATTAGCCTCATCGGAGGCCACATTATTGAGTAGGTCTTTAGTCTTCTGAACCTGCGCCTACATTTAACAGGAAATAATGAGACCATGCGGACTCTTTGAAGATGGCAACTTCTCAGTTCTTCAGACCCAGCAAATCACACTGAACAAACAAAAGCACAGACAACACAGGCACTCCCCCAAGCAATGCTGCACCTCACCACCTAGYTCCAGGAAGAATCATGCACAGATCCAGAAAAAATTTTTATTTCAGCAGTACTGGGGATTGAACTAGGGGGGCTCAACCACTGAGCTGCATTTCCAGTCCCCCTCCCCCATTTTTTTATTATTCATTTTGAGATAGGGCTCCTGCTTAAGCTGCTCAGGCTGACCTCAAACTTGTGATCCTCTTGCCCCAGGCTCCCAATAGCTGGGATTATAGGTGTGTGCCACCATGCACAGTAAAAAATATTATTTTCATGAAAGGCAGGCATTTCTGCCCAGGAAAATAAATGAAGATGACGAGAAATGTCTTAATGGTGTACCTGTCCAGCTCGCCTGGCTAGAACTGGGTGCCTACGCTTGCACTGTGGGCTTGCCTTCCAACACTAGGCTGTTCTACTTATAGAACACACACACAAAAGTATGGCTCTACTCTGGAGGGACAAAAAGAAATATGAGCTGGCCCCAATCCTAACCAATTGCCTGCTGGGATAAAAAAAAAAAGGTCTCTTTTCCTCTTGATGTAACAGAAGCTTGACGATAGACTAAAAATAAGAGAAAACCACTGTGTTGGTGAAGTCAGCATAAAAGCAGCGTGACCTCATGGAAGGTCAAGTGGTGTGCTGGTGTGCTCCATCCTTTGGAAGGGACCTGTGTAGAATGGGACAGAGGCCCTGGGTAGTGGGCCTGAGGAGAGGAGGGAAGGAGCAGAGACCACTGTTGACAGCCAAAGACATTCTTATGCTCTGGCTTGAAGCAAGTTCTATGGGACCAATTGCCCAGTGATGTCTGTGTCACCTGGGAAGCTGGGCAGCAAGTGCCCCATGGATCAGAGTGCCAGTGAGCCACACCAGGAATCTAGACACAACTGGGCTGTGTGTGGACGCCCTCCTTACTGCTGTGACTGTACAACCCTGCATCAGGTTTCTGAAGGTGAGGTAGGTTTCCCTTCAGTAAGTCTYCATGTGTCAGTGCCTCACAAAGGTTTCCTGACAGTTTACCCACAGGCCTCTGAAAAGCTATGGAGTTCACCTGAGAAGCCCAGATATTATCCATGATTCTCAAGAGATTTAAGTGCGTTTTTGGAAGCAACCACAGTTACTGTCAATGAATTTATGGTTTAATTTTCATTAACCACTTGGTCTAACTATATTAACCACTTCTAAGATGCTTTCTTTAAAAAAAAATCACTAATGATTCATGAACTGCAAATACTTTAAAAATCCAAGTAGAAATGTGAGTCTGCTCCAGTCAGAGGAAAGGTAAGTCCCTCCTGAACAACTCAGCTAGTATCAACTGCTCTCTGAATCAGTTAGACTAAAGCCTAGTGAATTTATCTGACCTCAGAAATGAAAATTATTAAAGGTATCTGTTCCTCAAATATGAAAGACAGACATCTGTAAACATAAACAATTTTTCTGTTTTCTGATAWATCTGGTCTTTACTTCATATCCCCTTTTAAGTATCCACATTGTTGTTTTGGTTTTATTTTTAGAATTATAAAACATAACAGGTATTTTCCAACAATGAAAGGAGATCATAAGACATGATCCAGGGGCTGGGGCTGTGGCTCAGTGGTAGAGTGCTCGCCTAGCATGCATGAGGCACTGGGTTCAATCCTCAGCACCACATAAAAATAAAAAAATAAAGATACTGTGTCCACCTAAAATAAATAAATAAAWAAATATTTTTTAAAAAAAGACATGATCCGAGCTGGGGATGTGGCTCAAGTGGTAGTGCGCTCGCCTGGCATGCGTGTGGCCCGGGTTCGATCCTCAGCACCACATACAAACAAAGATGTTGTGTCCACCGAGAACTAAAAAAAATAAATATTACAAATTCTCTCTTAAAAAAAAAAAAGACATGATCCAGCTCTCATTTTTTAACATATGAGAACTAAAGGCACATTCATGCCACATTCACTTGATTCAGTCAGAGTGTTACCAAACATGAGGATGAATTAGTATTTTTTAAATTTAGAAAGTCACAAACTCACAGAAAAGCTGGAGTATAATAATACAAGCATTTTTTTTTTTCCTACCCAGGGGAGAGTGGTGCTACCCTGAAGTCCCAGTACTTCTATAGACAGGGACTTCTTCCTCTACAAGCATAATGCCATCAGCACAGCATATGTGAGCAAAGGCCCATTTAGTCTCCCCTCTCATCCAGAGGATTCCCCCCACCCATCCCCTGCAGGCAGCAGCCCCATGGCACACAGGTGTCACTTCTCTGGGGCCTCCTCAATCTGGAGGGTTCCTCAGCTCTGTCTTTGATTGCCTCATTTTTGAGGAGGACAGGCCAGCTCATTTATGAAATGCCCCCCGGTCTGTCTGATCAGATTTTGATCATGCATCCTGAGCAGGGATACTGCAGAAAGGGCTGCCTGCTATCAGGCACCACAGTTTTGATTTGTTTCACTGCGGTGATGTTTGCTTTGGTCATTTGATTAAGGGGTAATGCCAGGCTTCTAAGAAGGTACTCTTCTCCTCTTTGTAATTAGTAAGTATTTTGTTAGGAGATACTTTGAACATTTATTTCTTAAATATAAGAACCCATGGTTTTCTATTTCTTTCAATTGCACTGTAAAATCAATTACTATAATTTATTTACTTAGATGCTTACACTAACTCTGGTTTGGCCAGCAAAAAGCCAATCAAGCTGGCCTGTGGCCCTTTAACAGATCCCTGTACTTCTTCGAACACTTCCTTATTTTGACACACAAGCTTGTACTTTTCTGGACCCAGCTCTGGAATTAATCACTTTCCCAGAGAGCCTTGTCTCCCTTCAGTGGATAATGGCACAAAGAAGCCAAGATGCAGGTGCTGGTTGTACTCAGAGCTCAGAAATGTGTGAGTGTGGGTGTGCTCATGTGCATAATGACATATCTACATATATGCATACATTCCCCTACATGTATATCAACTTATTCCTATATTTATTAATACATATACCAAATATCATGCCTTTAAACAATACTTCCCATTTTGGGGTTCATTCTAAATTTCTCTTCCCACATTTATAACTCTCTTCTCCAATGGTGAGGAACTCTGCTCTGTTATTCTTTTTTTTTAATATTTTTTTAGTTGTCAATGGACTATTTTATTTATTGATATGTGGTGATGAGAATTGAACCTAGTGTCTCACTTGCTTGCAAGCTAGGCAAGCACTTTGCTACTGAGCCACAATCCAAGCCCTGCTCTGTTATTCTTTTTTTTTTTTTTAAAGAGAGAGTGAGAGAGGAGAGAGAGAGAGAATTTTTAATATTTATTTTTTARTTCTCGGCGGACACAACATCTTTGTTGGTATGTGGTGCTGAGGATCGAACCCGGGCCGCACACATGCCAGGCGAGCGCACTACCGCTTGAGCCACATCCCCAGCCCTGTTATTCTTAATATATTGACTGATCTGGTTGATTTGCCTGTGAAAACCAACTTCCCAACCCTACTGCCACACCTTCTTACTCAAGAAGGCTTAGACTCCCTTCTCTTGGCTGCACAGGGTGATTTCTGTTTAATGATAAGAGTTATTAAAAAGAAAACCTGACTTTTAGAATTKTGTACAACTTACAACCAAGTCTGATTTTATGCCTATTTCTAATTTAAATATGGCTCCTTGCCTGTGTTTATTGAATAAAAGGAATCATTAACGATGGCTGAATACCTATTGTGCACCAAAGACGAAGCTTAATGTGTACTGCTGTAATTTATGCTCCATATAGTTGGTACAGTTGTGTTCCACATTCTACACATGAAAAAATTGTGGACATAAAAGTTAATTCACAGTTGGATGCAAACCCAAGCACTCTGAGCCCAGAGTTCTCCTGATCATGTGTCTTCCATCATGGATGTTTCTAGATGATAGGAGCAAATAATAGTTGATGGTGGGTGAGCAGTAAAAGACAGTGATCATTCTATTTACTACAGTGCTGTTTAGTATTAAGAGAACCTGGAAAAGGGCTGGGGTGTAGCTCAWTGGTAGAGTGGTAGCATATGCATGGCCTTGGGTCCCATCCCAGTTCAATAAGAGAAGGGGAGGGCAGGAGAGGGAAAAACTGGGAAATTATTTAAATGCCCAGTGGTAAGAAATTGATTAAATAAAATAAAGCCTTATTTACCAAAACTACTGAAGAATTTAAAATTGCTAAATTATTAAAATAAATGAATTTTTTATTGTTTCAATTTTTTTTTAGTTGTTAATGGACCTTTGTTTTATTTAAATTTATATGGTGCTGAGGATAAAACTCAGTGCCTCATACCTGTTGGGCAAGTGCTCCACCACTGAGGTGGAGTGCCCTTGAAAGAGAGACCTGGAATGCTCCCTCATCCTTGGCCAGATGAGGACATAGCAAGGAAATACCATCTGAGGAACCACTGAGAAACCACCCAGCCCCCAWAAAACTGATGAATTTATTTTTTTCGGGTGGGGGTATCAGGGATTGAACTCAGGGGCATTCAACCACTGAGCCACATCCCTAGCCCATTTTGTATTTTTATTAGAGACAGGGTATCACTGAGTTGCTTAGCGACTTGATTTTACTGAGGCTGGCTTTGAACTCATGATCCTCCCGCCTCAGCCTCCTGAGCAGCTAGGATTACAGGTGTGTGCCACTATGCCTGGCCAAAATTGATGAATTTTAAAACATGTTTTTTAGTTGCAGATGAACATAATACCTTTATCTATCTATCTATCTATCTATCTATTTATTTTTATGTGGGGCTGAGGATCCAACCCAGTGCTTCACATGTGCCAGGCAGTGCTCTATCACTGAGCTACAATACCAGCCTAAACTGATGAATTTTTATTAACAGAAGAAATTGTTCTTATGCATATGAGGAGAAAAACAATAGCAGTTAGTAACCTAAGGCTCCTAGAATACCCTCTAAATCCCTTTGAAATATCCATCACTAGGTGTAGTTTGTTCTATCTTATGCAGGTATAAAATACATATTTTTGAGTCCCAGGCATATAAAACCAAACTAATCTTACCAAAATCTCTTTTATTGCAATTCTCATTACTTTTTCAGTTTCATTTATTTCCAGAGGTCTGGCAATGGCTTCTGTTCTCAGTTCCTAAGAGAAACAATAAAATCATTTACATAGATTTTCAAAAAAGGAGTATTCAAAACCAGTGTTCCTAGATYCACATCTGGCTTATGGACTAATTCTCAAAAGTTTCATTACGGGACTGGGGACACAGCTTGATGATGGAGCACGTGGTTAGCACATATGAGGCTCTGGGTACAATCCCCAGCACCAAAAGAAAAAAAGTCTCATTATTATGTGGATCTCTGATGTAAAAAGACTTCTGCCCATGACCTATAAATGTCCTTTGATGCCAACCTTGTCTCTCCCTAGACCTCAGGATTCTCCTTTTCAGTTCAAGGCCTAACATGCCCTTAGCTCTATGTGCAAACCTGAACTTAGCATCTGTTACCTTTTCTCCYAAATTTACTTCATGACTTACATTCTGTTCAAACTAAGCACAACATAACTTGCTGTCTGAATCCCTGCTATAACCTTTTTTATGATTAAGTCTTTCTAAGTTGCCTATTACTGATAAATGCAGATGAGAATGGTCACCTTGACCCTGCTGCTAGTATTAAGCATAAACCAATCAAGGGGGCCTTGTGGCTATCACATCAGTACTGGGAACTTTGGAACCATGGGATTTTAATGTGGATGTAGTTATTAACCTGGTTAGAGACTGAATGTTTGTCTCATTCCTGAGGATCCTGTTGAAACTCTAACCCAAAGGGTAATAGTATAAGGAAGTGAGATCTTTAGTATGAGTTAGATCATGAGGGTGATACCCTCATGAAGGAATTAGTGCCCTTGTACGAGAGATCTGGAATGCTCCYTCATCCTTGGCCAGATGAGGACATAGCAAGGAAATACCATCTATAAGGAAGGAGCCCTTACCAGACACCAAATACACCAGCACTTAGATCTAGGACTTCTTAGTCTCCAGAACTATGAGAAATAAATTTCTATTGTTTTCAAACCACTGAGTCCATCATATTTTGTTGCAGTAGCCCAAATGATTAAGATGCAGCTGCYAGAGCTCCTATCACACTCTACCTTGCACTTCTGTTACTCTTGTACATCTCATCTCCCCCACTGGTGGGAAGCAGATCATGGCTATGGCTTCCTTAAGAAGGCAGAGCTTGATGTTGTGCCTGTGGCTGGCACTGGCTCTCCATATAAGTTCACTGAGTGTACACACACATTGTGGGGTGGTGGCAATTGGGAATTGACCACTGGGCTACCTCCCCATCCCTTTTTACTTTTTGAGACATGGTCTCAGTAAGTTGCCCAGGCTGGCCTCAAACTTGTGATCTTTCTGCCTCAGCCTCCCAAATAGCTGCGCTTATAGGCGTGCACCATTGTGCTGGCTTATATACCACATTAGAGAAGTGCATCCTCTAAGTACTATATCATGGTTTCCTTGGGAACAGTTCAGTCACTGATTATTTATTATTCCCTAAAGGACAGTGCTGAAAGAGTGTCCGGGRGATGCTGGTGAAGTCTTACAATGATGCCATAGTTCCCCTGGTGCTCAGCAGGTCACCAGCTCTGTCTCTGGGTCTCAGGAAGGTGTATAGACACACAGGCACTATTGTGCTATACACAAAAAACCTGGAATTGACTCCCCAGTTACCAGAAATGGCTGTCAGATGTTAGTGGCAGTTTTGTTATGCCTACCACTTCACCTGGTAGCAACATTAGATTGGCACATGATGAGCCAGGATGGTAATGTGATATCCAAGTCCTCACCCCTGATATCTACTTCCAGTTTGTTCCTGGGTTACAGTGAAAAGCAGGGGAACAAATACCTTTACACTGTAGCAGAAATGCCAGAACACAGGCAAGACAGGAAGAGAGGTGTTGAGGCTGGCATACCTAATAGAAAGCGAGGGAATGAAATTCATTTACTGCAAAAACACTAGATTGGACCCGTGTGCTTCAAATGCCATCAATCGTTACAGGTAAGGATTCAACAGTACTTYGTTTCTTCTTGAACCAGTACTTCTCCAATTCTGCTGCTTGTTGGAATAGCCTGGATAACTTTAAACCCTGATCTGGTTCTTAGCCTCTGATACGCCAACTCACTGGTATGAGGACAACCTGGACATAGGGTGAGTCTAAGGTTCAGTAAAGTTTAGTAACCACATTATTTACAACAGACAAGTACATGCCTGTTCCTTGGCTGGCACCAGTTGAAATAAAGGATTGTAAATAAGTTTAAAAAGTAACATTGATTCCAACTGTTTGGGTATGACTGCCTGGATCACCTGGAAGACTTGAAACTAAAAAAAAAAAAAAAAAAAAGTCCTAAACTTTGCTGTATGTATCACCTGGGAGACTTGAAACTCAATGCCTAGGTCACATTTCATAACAGAGACATCAGAATGAAAGCTTGCTTCAGGAGTTTGTAAAGATTCTCCAAGTGAGGCCACAGGAGCAACGTTTGGGATCCATAGGCTGAGAAGAGCATTGCTGAGAATTCTGAGGTTGAGTTCATGGGGAAAAGAGCACCATGATCAGCAAGGTTAGGCACAGGTTCAAGGACAATCTCAGCCACAGGCCAATATTTGCCACTCCTGAATTAGAAGTTCAAGGTATTAAAACCAGTAGATCTCTGACCAGTAGAAGAAGAGGACCTAACATTTTACATCACTTTCCACATTTCCTCATTTAATCACAGGTAAAGTTTAATACAATAAGAACCACCAAAAAGCAAGAAGCATAATTGAAAAAGAAAACCTGGAAGAGAAAATCTACATTCTTTCTCTGAACAATGCTTACCCTCAATTCAACCTCCTTGCCCAGCAAGTCATATAGTGATGCTCCTTTGGAGGTGATTTCAGAAGCAAGCTGCCTAGCTGCTTTCAAATCTGCAATCTGGAAGGTAAATATCAGAAGCATGAATTTCAGTTTTTAACAGGCATCCACAACAAGTTGCTTATTATCAACTGCTACCTTTAGGGAGGATATGTTTTTAGCAGTCCCACAATTACGTGCTGTAGGACAGCACTCCCAGGACATCTGCTTAGGAAACACTGACCTAAGTACAAATAAGACCAATTCCAGAATATCTGGTGTCTCCAAAAACCAAATTTCAAGCCAATCTTAATCCAAAACCAAGAGATACAGAAAGAAGAAACCTGACATGCTTCCAGTTTTGAATAGGTCACAATGGGTCCAGCAACAGCAGTGGGGTAACCAAATGAAGGGGCAACCTAAGGGACACCTGCCCTACTGCAGCATCCTCAAGGCCTATATTCAACCTACCCTGTCTCCTCATTCTCTGCCTCTGACTTTCCCCAATAGGGTGCTGTGAGGCTCAGGTGTGGTTGCATCCTCTAAGTACTCACAACAGTTCTCAACTCCCACAAGCATGGGGGCTACTGCCAGGAAGACAATGCCAGTGACTATGATGCCAATTTAGCAACCAGTCTTCTTTCTTAGGATATGTGTTTGCTCCCCTCTTCCTTGAGTGTGTTATATTTCCCAAAGATCCAAACATAAACATCTACCTGCTAGGTCATTCTCCCTCTCTCCAAAACAAAGAATCCCCAACTGCTCTTTTATTTCCAACACACTAGCAAGAGTCTGGGGACATGGTCTGATCCAGCTCCAGATGCTTTTCCTACTTGACTGGCAACAAGTTTCTAACTTGCTTTGCAGGATTCTCCTCACCTTCCCCACCTCTTGACAGTGATACCAGCATTCCTTCTAACCCCATGACTTTAATTCTACTTATGTGCTCCTAACCCCAGCTCCAGCCTCACACACCAACTACCTGCTCAGCATCTCTACCTGGACATCCAGGGCACATCATAAATATAACATGTCCAGAACCAAACTCATCTTCCCCACTACACCTCTGCCCTTTCAGACTCTTCTTTACTTCAGCTAATGGCAACTTAATCCTTCCARGTGCTCAGACCAAAAACTTCAGAGCTGAATGTCTAATACTGTAACTGTTAGCCACATATGGCCACTTTCACATTTAAATGACTTAATAATAAAATACAATTTAGAACTCATCTCCTCAGCTGTGCTAGCCACTTTGGCCAGTGGCTTCTGCAGAAACACAGCACAGATGCAAACCATCAGCAGAGCAGGTCTGACAGTATTGTGCCACTTTGGGATATTCCTAGCGTCATCTCACCTATCTCAATCCATAGTCAGTCCCATAAAATCTACCTTCAAAATATGTCTGCACCTGTAGCTACTTCTCTTTACCAGGGGCCTGGCTCCTGGTTAAAAAACAATGTGTGAAAAACTAATAATAAAAAAAAGTAGAAAGCAAACAAACAAACAAATAAAAAAACACATGATTTTTCAGGCCTGACCATGATAATTAGAAGGCTTTCCCTGGCAGGCCTCACAGAGGAGAGCTGTCCTGATCCCCAATGAGGGGCATAGCTGATGCACTRGTCTCTGAAGGGCACAGCAGGCAGGACCCAGGCCCCTGGCCAGTCATGCTCTAGTCTGTGTTCCTAGCCTGGCTGCCTTTACTCTAGTCTCCTCATCTGAGCCTTGGGCCGAAGTCTCTTCAGGTGCCTCTCCTGGAGCRTGGGGCTCAAAAACACCTTCCCCACCTTGGCAGTATCTAGTACTTTTCCACTTCTGGTCCTCCCTTCACCCCACTTCAGGGTCCATAAAACCGCCAGAGTCTTTTGTTGGGGGTTCTGGCCCTTAACTGGCAGACGCATCATTCTATGGGGGAACATGAAACAAACAGTTATCCCTTCCYCTGGCTTTAGAGTCTTGCTCAGACTACGGCAATCAATGATTAACTTCCATGCTCGACTCTCACTTCAGTCTGGTGGCAATGCAGCAGGCAGAGGGATCCTTTGCATAGAAAATTCAAGCTTAAACATCTCTGCTCAAAATCCCATTTTCCAGCTCAAGTAAAAAAATTAAAGGGACCAGAGGGCCTCCCGTCGTGGCTCTCACCACAGAGATCCCTTACTCTTTTCAAACATACAAAGCACACTGTTATCTCAGGACATACGTCCCCACCCCCATTTGCATGGCTGTTCCTTCCTTCCCTCAGATCTCTGAAGCCACACAACCCATGAGGCCTTCCTGGTCACTCTAGGAAAAATACCTTCCCCAGCACTCTCCATCCTATCCTGCTTTGTTATTCTCCATGGTGGTCACTTTTAACATTRGGGTTCATAGTCTGACTCCCTCAACTAAGCAACAGGACAGAGAACTCTATCCTCTTTGTTCACACCTATATCCCTAGCATTTGAATGGTTCCTATTAAATATGAGGCTTTCAGTAAAGAATTGCATTAATTCACTGTGCCTTTCCTTTTATCAGAATGCTGATGAGCACAAAACTGGCCAACTGCCCTTGGTCAAGCAGTAAGGAATGTGGTGGTGCTCTGAGTGCCACGCACATCCTACTCCCGAGTCCAAGAAATAAGCACTCCTTTAGTCCTTACCTTGGAGCCGAGATCAAACTTGAATTTGCTGACATCTTCCTCTCCTATTTTTGAACTCTCCATCCCTTTGGTCTTCATAGCATTATAAAGGACAGATGTGACCTTCAGCAGTTCTTTCACTGCATATCCATCAGCCTGGTAAAGCTTCTTAGTATTGAGTTTTATATGTGCCTTCGTGGCCTGTTTTAAAAAAAATATATTAAGGCCCTTTCTAAATAATCCTATATAATCTAACCCAAATCCTATGCAGGTAATTTGAAAATGCCTCTGCTGAGAATTGGGAGACAACCTAATAGTATTACGATTAAACAACTAAGTGACTCATGCATTGTGATCTGGTATATAAATTGATACAATCTTGATGGAGAGCAATTTAGTAAGACACCAAAATTATACATGGACATATCTTTTGTCCCAGCAGTTTCATTACTAAGAACTTACTCTAGGGATATATGTAGACACCAAATGATATGCATAGGCTATTCTTCACAGCATTGCTTCAAAGAGTGAAAGTTGGAAGCAACTAAATACCTGTCTACATAGATTACATCAGTAATGGTGTATCCATGGGGGGGGCACTCAAGTGTAAGAGAGAATGAGGAAATTCTGTATGGGTCTGGAAAGTTCTATAAAACATACTATTAAGTGAAGACAGCAGAATAYTACACAGGGGAATACAGCATACTACCATATGTGTAAAAGGAAGGAAAATAATAACACATAACATTTGCTCGAAGAAATAAACTCYGGAAGAAATTTAAAATAGTGGTTACAGGGAATGCGACTGGAACCATGCTGACAGGGTAAAAAGTCAGTGTATTCTATGTAATTTCATGATTTTTAGCAATTTTAAACCATGAAATACATTGTCTACTCAAAAATAAACTGGGCTGAGAGTRAAGCTCAGTGGTAGACCATGTGCTTAGCATGCAGAAGGCCCTGGATTTGATCCCCAGTATCAAACTAATTAAATTTAACAATAAAATAAGCAAAAATCTTAAATAGTAATTAATTAAAAAACAAAAAGCTTCTTTGTGAATTGGCTCCACAGAACCCTGGCAATGGAATGGTTTTAGAAAGTAAACTCAATTTGAAAGCAAATCTAACTAAAATTTATCCCTAATTTATTTAATTCCACAAAATAACTGTGAACTAACCATGAACTGGGCAATGGCCTTAATGAAGAAAACTCGGTCTTGTTCAGTCTCAACATCAGAAGGGATGTCAGTCTGGGGCTCATACCTATGACAGAGAATAAACAAGTAAGTCCAACAGAAGTCCTCAAGAGAAAGTGGGCAACTGAAAGGACAGTGGCTCTCCAAGTCTTCAGATAAGGTAATATGGTTAAGAAAAACTTCAAAAGCAACACAAAATACCTAAAGGGCAAACTCCCACCTAACAACACATTTAATTGATTTAAAAATTAAACACGGGGCTCAGCTTACAAAATCAAATCTATGTCAAATCTCAATGTTTGGTGAAAATAATCAGAACTGTAACTCTAGCTAACAGCCCTTGATACTGACCATAGATACTAGGACTAAACAGTTCTCCTGGAGAAGGAGCAGAGTTGTTGAAGTTACTTTCACTGAGTTACTGATAATTCACCAGGGCCAGCAGACTGCAGCCCTCAACCTGTTTTTGTTTAGCTTGCAAGCTAAGGATGTGTTTTACATTTTAAAGACAAAAAAATTATATTTTCTATACACAGGGAATAGATATGTGTAAATATACGTAAATATATCCTATACATAAGAGAGCTTATGTAACATGTATTTATTATCTGGCCTTTAGACAAAAGTTCTCTAACATGAATCATCTCAGATTTTTTGACACAAAAAGAAACCTAAGATACTCCTAATCCAGTACATCCCAAGTACGAAGGGAGGTCCATGACATTCTGTGGTGAAAGGATGAAGAGGAGCTTACATAAATGCCTTACAGAGAAACATTCCCTTCCTGGGGTGTTCTTTGAATTCAGCCAATTCTCAACAGGTCACAAATTCAAATTGTACTGAACTCTTGCATCACAACAGTACCTGGTTTACAGTTGGCTAATTAATAAAATCTAGCCTTCATCCTTAGATTTCAAGTGTGGTCCTAACCTTTTCACAAGCCAGAGCAGCACTTCAGACACAAGCCCAAAGTTGGGTGTGCGGAAATTTTCCATAGAAATGTGTCGTGGGTATCCCAGGGCTCTCATCATCTCTGTGAAATCTGTCCAAGAAAAAACATAATTCAGTCAGTTCTTCACCAAATGGCAACTGCTTATTACCTTAGATATTATCTCTGCTTTCCCTTCTTACTCTCAATCTACTAACAGCTTTAGGGGCTATTCAGCAATTCTTAAGAGGGAAGGAAAAAAGGAAATAAAATTGAAAATACCTAATCTGTTACCAGGAAAAACATCTACTCAAGTCCAATGGGAGAAGATGCTATATAGGAAAATGGGCTTTAGGGATTAGCTGTGGCTTTAATTTTTCTCTGATTATCTCTTTACCATTCAAAATAAGAAATACTTGGCCTTATAAAATTTAACAAGGAAAGAATATTTTAAAATGTTAACAGCAGTTATGGGGGGTAGGGTAGGGTAACTTCATGTTTCTGAGTTGTCTTTTTGTGTGTGAATATACAGGATCTTAATAACACAAATTTTAAAGATTAATTAATTTCCTTGTATTCAGAAAAATGTTAAAGAGAGCAGTTCAATACTAGAGCAATATTTAGATTATCAAACAGATTAAGAAATAGTATTGCTAACACTTCTTGTTATTCCTAGATTGGGAATGCCTCAGGAAAAGCCATAGTACTTGCAACAGATCAAGATTTGGAAACAAACACAATCAACATTTTTTTGAGTTTCCATAGTGTGCCAAGACCAATTTTCCATGTGCTTCCTGACTATGTAATATTTGTCCTCATTCTTCCTGAAGAGGGATGTTCCAAATGTCCCAATGACATTCACAAATAACCTACCTACCTGGATATTGAGARTCAGGTCGGCTTCTACCAGATAGTGGAAGACAAGGTTTGAGCACAGGGAAAAGAAGTCACTTTGTGACTCTTTTTTGAAAATCTGAATAGACAGAAAATAAAGCAGCAGCTTTCTCATCACAGGCATTGCTGAAATACTTCTTCTTGCTAAGGACTACTAKTAGTGGTCGAATTCTGTTAATTTTGCATTTTTCTTGTCAAATGGAGACTAACTTGAGACTGTTACCATACACTGCAYGATTGCAGAGCATTCAGAATTTTATTCTGAATCCCTCTTTTACACTTTCCCCAGCACAACCCTATTCAATGTCCCCTAGCAAAGTGGTGGCCCCACCAAAAAGTACACAGTAGGAGACACCTGTCTTTACAATGTAGTCACCAAAGACTCTCTCTCATTCCAGAAGATATGATCCCACAATGCTAAGAGGTGCCTCAATGAAATGTGATTAGTCTTCCTGTATATGTACACCAAAGAAAGAGAATTTCATAACAGAAAAGAGTATTCTCTAATGCTGAAATTACAGACACCAGCAATTTGATGAGAAAAAGAGTCCAGAGACTGCAGGTTGACAATCACCTAGTACTCCTCTGCAGRTGAGGCCAGTTAGCTTAACGGCTTCAGATTCAGAAAATGACTGTGTATAAAAGACAAGAGGCTGGGATTGTGGCTTAGTGGTAGAGTGCTTGCCCCACACATGTGAGGCCCTGGGTTTGATCCTCAGCACCACATAAAAAATAAATAAAAAATAAAGATATTGTGTCCATCTACATCTAAAAAAAAAAAAAAAAAAAAAAAAACCCGAGATTTCCGAGTCACACAGTCCTAGGTCTTAATCCTTTGTTGCAACCAGTTCTAGCTGTGTGACCTAAAGCAAGCTACTTTACCTCTCTATGCTTCAAAATATTTCATCTACCAAACCACATCACCGCTAAAGTGAGGACTAGAGCAAGTCAGTGAATGAAAACTCCTGGTGAATAACAGGCGCCCCTCAAGGGGTAGGGACCCACTCCGCGCTCCACCCTGCCCCAGGCTGCCCAGCCCTGCCCTTCTGGCAAAGGCGTAGAGTCCCTTCTCGCCAGCCCTTTCAGAAGGACGCGGGCTTTGGAGTTCCCACACGCTGCATCCCATCCCCGCGCGACCTGCTACCACCTGTCACTCGTCCCAGCTACCGGCCTTCTCSGTGCCGCCTTGCTCATCTCTAAACGAGGGGCACAGAACTGTCCAGAGGGCTAAGGAAATCATGCATATACACTGAAAAGTACCAGGCAGAACCTGAAAACTCAAAAAGTGCCAGCCGCATTAGCCCATCCTCCAGCCCCCTCCTGCGGTCGCCGTGTCTTCCCGCACAGCGCCGAGTGGACCCGACTCGGAAGTCTGCGCTTTGCAGGCACCTTCCGAGGCGGCTGTTGGGTAACGAGTGAGTTCACGAGGAACCGTAAGGCCGGTCCCCCGGCCGCTCCCTACACTTCAGGTGCTCGGCAGCCACACGCGGCAGGGCACACCGAGCTTTCCAGATCAAGGCGCTCTCGGGGAGGGGGCTCGTGGTAGCGTGGGGACCAAGCGGGGAAGACCCGCGGGCACGGGGGGAATGGGCGGCCTTACTGCGGAGGTCGCGGAAAGACATGGCGCTCTGGTTCACGGGAGCCGCGGTTGCCGTCGCCCTCCCCTCAGCACTCGCGGGTCTCTATGGCAACACACCGTCACTAGACGGCGTGCGGACTGGGCCAAACAGGTCGTGACGCACGCATGCGCACTAAGAGGGCAGTCTGCAGGGGACGCCACGGGAGACGCCTAGGGCCGCGGGCTTGGCGAGTTGAGTCCTTTTACACGCTTTACGAACACTTGGCATCCGCTGATGTGTTCTGAATGCCTACTCTGTGTTCCACAGAGTTCTAGGCGCTTCCCACACGCCTCGATTTCCTCACTTCTGTACAGAGCGTACTCTCATGACGSGGGGTGCCCCTTCTGGGTCCTGCCTACAGCATACTTCCTCTCTGACATACACACAGGGCCCGCGCCCGAGGCCATCGAAAAGCGTCTGCAGCAMGGAGGGGTGGAGGTTTCGAGGTAGACGATCCTGGACCCCCGCGCACGCGCAGCCTCCTTGGTTTTTACGACCGGCCGGAAATCGTCTGGCAGTTGTCGTGACAACCTTGGCGGATTCCTCGGGGATCGACAGCAAGGAGGCTACAAGTCCCTGCCAGGACGCAGAATGTCGCGGCAGTGTCTTCCCGGGGCGCCGCAGGGGTCCCTCCCTGGCGACCACCACGGGGCAGAGAGGCGACGAAGAAGCGCTGGGGAGATGAACTGAGCTGAGTCTGGTAGGGTGSACGAAGAGGAAGGCAAACCCCAAAGTGAGGCGACGCCGGGCCAAGGACGCCCTCTGTCGGTGGGTTGTGGTATTGGCCCAGTCCAGAGCCTCGCATCTGTGGCCAGTCCAACCTGCATTTACGTGGATAAAGAATAGTCTTCAACAAACGGTTTTGGAGCAGTTGTAAACCCATGGCAAATAAGTAAGCCTCCATTCTTATCTTGCACAATATACGAAAATTAAAAATGAGTCGGGCGCGTTGGCGCACGYCTATAATCTCAGCGGCCTGGGAGGCTGAGGCAGGAGGATGGCAAGTTCAAAGCCAGTCTCAGTGGGGCTAGGGTTGTGGCTCAGAGGTAGAGTGCTTGCCTGGCATGCTTGGGACACTGGGTTCGATCCTCAGCTACCACATACAAATAAAATAAAGATATTGTGCCCACATAAAAAATATGTTAMAAAAAAAAAAAAAAAAGCCAGCCTCAGCAAAAGCCAGGTGCTAAGCAACTTCTGGCAAATAAGTAAGCTGTGGGTTGTGGTATCGGCCCTAAGATAGGGCTGGGGATGTGGCCCAATCAGTGATTGGATGCTCCTGAGTTCAATCCCAAGTGCCCCCCCCCAAAAAAAAGTAAAAATGGATCACAAATGTATATGTAAAACCGAAACCTAGGGGAAAAGCTTTGTGTCTGGGTTAGGCAGGATTCTGTAGATATACAAAGAGTACAACCTCAGAAAATTTCTTTGGGATAAATTGGATTTCATCAAAATAAAATTTGCTCTTCAAAAGGAATGGTTAAATTTTTTTTCATCAAATTGGGTTTAGAGATCAGACTGACATTCGTTAGGGATTCATGAATGGGTAGCACCCCTTCTCTGAGCTAGATGCTGCAATGGGCATGGCAGAACAGTGGAGTTTTTAAGGTATCTTGAGGAACAAGGAGGAAATGACATAAAGCAAGGAGAGGACTGGTTGGCAGCAGTTGCTTTCCCTGTGTGGGTTAAAGCAAAGAGCACTTCCTTATCAAGTTGACTCARGTCAACTGGGTTGCTTATGATTGGTTGCTGTGAATCTCCTGTTTTTTGGAAAACCAGGTTCATTTCCAAACTCAGTTTGATTATGTGGCACCTAGCATCAATGACTCCATTTGGGCTTGATCTGGTCTATTAACATAACCCCCCCATAAATTTTATTTAACAAACCATTAAGAAAACAGAAAGACAAGCCACAGACTCRAAGAAAATAATGTCACAGAAGACATATCCAGAATATGTAAATTCTCAAACACTAAATGAGAAGATAATATAATTAAAAAATATAAACAGATGCTTCACAAAAGAAGATATTGGCATCCTTGTCAGAATCAATTGACCATAGATGTATAGGTTTAATTTTGAGTTCTCTAGCCCATCTGTGTGTGTGTGTGTGTGTGTGTGTGTGTGTGTATGAAATATGCCAGTTTTATACTGTTTTGATTACTGTAACTTTGTAGTAAGTTTTGAAATCAGAAGCTGTTAGTCCTCAATCTGCATTTTCATTTTTCAAGATTTTTGTGGTTATTTGGGCTCCCTTGTAATTCCATATAAATTTTAGGATGTTTTTCCATTTCCTATAACAATATTATATGTCATCTTGACTGGGCTAAGGGACACACAGATGACTAGTGTACCATTATTTCTGGGTGTGTCTGTGAGCGTGGTTCCAGAAGAAATTAGCATTTGAATTTGTAGACTGAATAATACAAGGTGGCCCTCACCAAAAGGGGTAGACATCATCCAGTCCACTGGGGTCCAATTAGAAAGGTGAAGGAAGAGTTTAAGTGGGTACATCCATCCTCTGTCCTTGGACATTGGAGCTCCTGGTTTTGGAGCCTTTGGATATTAGACTTATACCAAATGCCATCTCTATTCCCACCCTCACTCTCAGGCCTTTAGACTTGAATTGACCCATTGGCTTTCCTGGTTTTCCAGGTTGCAGATGGTATATTGTGGGACTTCTTGGCCTTGWTGATCATATGAGCCAATTCCCCTAATAAATCTTCTCTTAAATAGCTGTATATACACTATTGATTCTGTTTCTCTGGCAACCCTAATACACTATCTAAAACCCATTGACATTTTCGGAAGGGTTGCCTTGAATACTTAGGGGAATATTGTCGTCTTGACCATATCAAGTCTTCAATCTATGAACATGGAATGCTTTTCTATTTTCCTGTCAATTATCTCAGCAGTGTTTTTTAGCATGTAGTGTTGATTAAGTTTGCTCCTGTTTCATTCTTTCTGTACTCTGCTCATGTGTAGAAATACAACTGACTTTTGTGTGTTGACCTTTTTCCTAAGACTTTGCCAAACTTTTCTTTTACCCCAACCCTAGATTGTTGTCTTTCTTCCTTCTTTTTTTCCTTCCTTCCTCCTTTTTTTCTTTCTAGTGTGTGTGGATTCTTTAGTTAGCTATGACATCCATAAGCTTTTTGCATACACAAGATAGTGTTATCTGTCAATAGAGAAAAGTGAATGTGTGTTTTTTGTGCTTTATTTTTTATTTTTTTGTGGTACTGGGGACCAAACCCAGGGCCTCACAYATGCTAAGAACATGCTGTATCCCTGAGCCACGCTTCCAGCCCAGTCTGTTCAAGAAACCAGKAAGCACTTTTCCAAAGTAATTGTACCATTTTACATTCCCAACAGCAGTATATGAGAGTTCCAGGTTCTTTCTCCACACCCTTATAAACAGTTGGTATTATCTACACACTACTCAGAAAGTTAAGGGAAAATGGACAGACCAGTGAAGTGACTTGCCAGTCACCCATAACCACTTTCTTGGCCCAGTCAAAGCATTGATCCAGGACTCACCAAGGCCTCATCCCATCCAGAGATGAGGAAGCTAAGTTCCCCAAAGGTCACCCCAGAGAACAACTCTCCAGTCGGCCAGGCTAGAGCAAACAGGGACTTCCTATGGGGTTCTAGTCCCCTCCCATGCCCTCCTCCCATGTTGACTTTGCCCTGGGCTTTATCCTCTCCCAAACTAGGGGTCCAGGAAGGCTGGAGTCTTCCCTGTGACATCATAAGAGCCAGTTGTCGTGGGAGACCTGCACACCCACCCCTCAGGCAAGGCAGAGCAGGGCCCTGCTGCACAAGGCCTGGCCACTCTTTCCCCACCATACTGGCCCTCCATGGAAGCCTTGGTCTGTGCGTTCTCTGAGCTGCGCATAAGAGAAGGTGCTGGGCTATGGGGAAGAGTGGCAGGTCAGATGCCCTCTTGTCCCAGYTGGGGCTCAAAGCCACTGGGGTGGCCTCAGGGACATGCATACTTGGGAGAGGAAAATATGCACTGATTCAAGCCATTTGACTCTAGGCTGGTCACTTCCTCGTGGACCCACTGTGCAACTTCTATACTGAGACCAGAATTCTCTTTCTAGGGTAGGGGGCACAAAGGGCTTGAAGTGCCAAAAGGGATTTCAGTCCCAGGCTTTAGGCCTCCCTGTTGGTTTAGGGGTGTGAAGAGGGGTAATGGGCAATGGGCAGGGCGGAGGCAGAAAACCAAGCCCACTTGGCAGWCAAGTAAGCTGAGGCTTGGCAGACTGGGGGAGGAGCCCATAATATGAGCTGGTCTTAGAGACAGGTGCCTGCATTCTCCCCTCATGGATGCTGGACCAGCTGGCCACCACCCTCCTGCCCTTCCCCTGTAGATGCAGTGAGCTGGGCCCGAGGACGCCCCAGTCACCTGGACACACCACCCAACATCTACGAGGGGGGCCTGGGGGCCCAGCAGCAGCAGTGCCCCAGTGCCCAGGGAAACAAGCCCAAGAACTTCCGGCTGCGCCACCTCCGGAGCCTGGCTCTCTACCTGCCAGGCCATATGCAGCCTGCTGGCCAGTGCGAGAGCCACTGGCTGGGCCGGCTTCTGGCTGGGGGGTACCTACCACAGCCTGAGGGCTCAGCCTGGCCCTTGGACCTTCCACAGGGGACTCTGGGCCCAGGTAACAACCACTGCTCAGCCCTTCTGGAAGCCCAACTACCCAGGGACAGCCTGGGAGATACAGGTGAGCTCTGCTAAGGCAAGAATGGGGACAGGAGGGGTAGATCCCAGGAACTCAAATGGGGCTTCTCCAGGGATTARGGTGGGATACCAAGATGTTATGCTCCAGAGGCTCAGATCTTGGTGAATCTGCCCCATCCCTGTACCCTATTATTGGGTTAAGGCCATCAATGTACCCAGGTCACAAAACTCCCAGGCCCATGGGGTCTTGGTGTGGTGGTGGTGGTGTACAGCTGGGTCAGGGATGGAGTGTATCAGGGCAAGGGGGTATGAAGCAAAGGGAAGGCTCRGGGACTGAGTGTTCTGGGTTCCTGTTCTAGCTCTGCATTTGATGAGGGACTTTGGACAACTCCCTGTCTTCCTGAGCCTCAGTTTGTCCATCTGTCAAATGAGGCATTCAGGTTAGGTGAGGGTCCTTCCAGTTTGAACCATTCACCTCCCACTTCCTTCCCCCAGTTCTCCCAAGGAAGGAATGCCATTTATCCCCTTCTGTTTTGAAGGTGTCAGGGTCTGGGAACTGTAGGGTGGGTTGCCAGTCTCCCTTGAGGTCTGAGTGACTCTTCTCTTTCCTCTTTCCTCAGCTTCCAGTTCCAGCATGGACCCAGCCAAGGGTGCCCCTGCCCAGCCAGGTCCCCCTGAGGGCTTGGGGCTCAGGCCCAAGAGGTCCTGGGGAGCCTTGGAGGAGGCCATGTGTCCCTTGTGCAAGAGAACCCGCTCTGGGSCCTTGGAGAGGCCATAGGGATCCTGAATTCCAGGGCTGGGGACAGAGGGGAAGGATAGCCAAGGAAGAGGAGGCAGGTCCAAAGAGGAAGGGCTCAGACCGCACAGTAGCCCTGCCCAATGAGACAGCCCCACAGCTGCCCAGCACCAGATTTGGGCCAGCTCAGGAGAGTGCAAAGRGGGAGGGAGGAAGAGGTCCTAAGGGAGGGACAGAGGAAATAGAAGCATGGCCCTGCCCTTGCAGCCTGCTCAAACTCCAGTCAGCCACTTGCACCTAGGAGGCCAGGCCGAGCAGAGAATCGGGTTCCTGAGAGGCCAGGGAGCCCTCAGGTCTAAGCTCAGTAAAAGCCAAGGCCTGTACCTTCTTGTCTGTGTGTGTCTGTCATCAGGCTAACTCAGTCAGAAAAATAGCCTTGTGTAAACTCCAAGTCCAGGGGCAAGGAGAGGAGGTTGGGTTTCAGGAAGGTGCTGAGAGGAGAGCAACTGAGGCAGGAATGTTGGTCTGGAACCTGCACAATCCCCACTGAGAACTTGGGATCCAGCAGGACAGGCACCACCCTTCTCTGTGCTGGCCTTGGATGCAAGCACTGGGTGTGGGATTCCTCTGTACCTGGGTATCTGAACAGGCTGCTGGGCCTGGGGCTGGATTGGTCTTTGCTGTGGTGCCACCCTGTTTCCAGACATCATTCAGCATCCCCTGGGGGACACACCTGCTCTGGTTGGGAATCCCTGCTCTATACCATGGGGCTCAGTACTTGGAGGAGAGGGGCTTGCTCTAGTGGCCCTTGCCTATCTGTCTCACTTTCAGTCTGAGCAGCTCAGGTCAGGCTAGGATTGAGCATTAGCCCACCTCAGATTCCTGCCGGAACACACATGGTGGTGTCAGGGAGAGAGAAAGGTCTCTTTCTCTTTCCCTGCACCCTGGTTCCAGTGGTCACCCACTGAGTGACAGAAGGGCCATTGCCTTCATCCTCTCCCACAACTCTTCCTGGACTTGGAGGCCAGATGGGCCTGAGAGAGAACTATCCAAGACAAATTTTAGGAAGGAGCTGAGGAAACACAAGAGTCAGCTGCCCCTGCTACCTGCCAAAGCTTTTGTGAGGCTGCTGTCAAGGGTGCTAGGTAAAAGCTGGCAATCCCAGATCCTTGGAAACCAACAAGGAACAGATCCCCTCACTTTTGAACAACAAGAGCAACAAGGAACAGATCCCCTCACTTTTGAACAAGAGCAACAAGGAACAGATCCCCTCACTTTTGAACAAGAGTGTAGGCTTAGGAGCACTTTGCCCCAGAGTTCAGACCTTGTGATGCTCAGGCTGTGGTCAGTCAGTGGCCACTTGGGTTACTCCTGATAAGCCATGTGTCCCTGTCTTAARGCCCYTGTACAGTCCCTTCCCCTTGTATAGGGATTGGCTCTGGGTCTTGCTTTACTAGTAAAATGTGAAAGTGACATGATGTCACGTTTGGGTGGTAAGAAGGCTTGGCTGTTTCCCCATGTGCTATGGGAGAGATCCTGTAAAGATGAATGGTCATGTAGAGCCGATTCTTCTGAGGCCACTACACAGTTGGAAACCAGTCCTGGCCATGCTCAGTGTTGCAGCCTTAGCCCATGTCTTCCCCCAGGAAAGACATTTGCTGTTGCCATGTGCTGGCCCAAAGAGAGCTGGCTCCAAACTGGCCTTTAGACAATTGCTCTCTAAAACCTGCACAAGGCTGGGCATGGTGGCACACACCTGTAATCCTAGCCATTCAGGAGGCTGAGGCAGGAAGATTGCAAGTTCAAAGCTAGCCTCAGCAATTTAGTGAGGCCCTAAGCAACTCAGTGAAACCCTGCCTCAAAATGAAAAATAATAAAGGGCTGGGGATGTGGCTCAGTGGTAAAGTACTCCTGGATTCCAACCCCAGTACCAAAAAAAAACCCAAAGAGTTGAGGATGTAACTCAGTGGTAGAGCACCTTGGTTCAATCCCTGGTACCAAAAACCAAAACACACTTTGCACAAGCTTTTTTGAAAAGCACTCAAYTTAAGATGACAGTATGAAAACTTCACTGTCATAGTGTTCTGGAAACGRGTTCATGTGGAGGAGCACCCTACATGTCCCCAACAAGCAGACATTTGGGGAGATGTGACTGTGGGCATACCCTTTGCATGTGATTTCCTGAATGTTGGTGGATTGGGATCTGAGTGACAAGCCTTTCCCACTTGTTCTACAAGTATGGGGCCCCTTGTGAGGGCTGCTAAGATTCTTCAAGCTGGCCCTGCAAAAGATCCTTGGGTGATATACACAGGGATTGAGGATATTGAGCCCTCCCAGGAGGGAGAAATGCAGCCATTTCTTGGGAAATCCCCCCTCAGCCAGGGGCAGAGCTGGCTCTCTTCAGACTGGGTAACTGTGTGAACCTCTTGCTTCCTGGGAGGTAGATGACCAGACTGTGGTCTGAGGGGTGGGCTGCTATAGCAGGTACCATGAGGGCAGTCCCTGCAGTCTCTGTGACTGGCTAGGAGGCCAGCTGAGAGGGTAATAGCTGCCTTCAGGGTGGGTTGTAGCAGAATCCCTGAATTCTTGGACACACAATTGACCAAGGGCCTCTGGAGTCACCCCTTCATCCCAAAGTTGACCCCTCAGCAACTTTAGGCAAGGATGATAGTTGTCCTTGCATAAATAACCAAGACTGAGCCTCAGCAGCACRGCACTCTGGTGGGGCCAAGCTCAACAGTCTTATTTGGTTCCACTCGCCTCGGGCACTTGTGCCCAGCTGCCTGACCTCCTGGGCACCATCAGGGCCTCCTGCTCTGGCAGTGATACAAGTCCTCTCCCAGATCCACTCTGCAGGCGATGGACACTTCCTAGGGAGGGCCCTCAGGAAGCAGCATGTCCCTGCTGCTGGCAGAGACTGGAGGTATGTGAACASAGGAGCACACTTGGGCTTCAGAGGGTCTACCCATTACTTAACTGCAGCTCTTAGGTAACTTCTCAGCCTCAAGCCAGTTTTCCTCACCTGCTTAATGGGGAAGCAAACATAATCCTTCTGGGGGTGGCCAAAGGTTTCAAGGACCAGGCTGGTGAGYACCTGTCACAGACTCCCATGGCTGGCCCATAGCCTCTGCTATGGTGCTGAATTGGTCTGTGAAGCTTCTCCAAACTAAGAGAGAGCCCTCAGGGGAGCTACCCTTGTGGACCAGCCCCAGCTGAAGGTGAAGAGCCAGGGAGCCAGACCAGACTGAAAGGGGTAGCTGTTGAAGTCCCTTTAAGAAACAGTCCAGCTGTGGCTCTCATGTCTGGAAGCCCTTCACTGGCTTGTGTTCCCTGGCAAGGCTAACAGAATCAGAAGCCATCCTCAGGATAGCAGTAGCAAGCAGTTCTTTCAGATGAAGACATAGGAGGAGAAGGGCCCAGAGTGCATCAAGCTGGGCACTGGGAACAGGATGTGACCAGATAAAATCTATTTATTTGTAATGAGACAAAACACTACAATCTGTTCAACACTGGGCTGGACACTGCAGTGATTCAGGGAAGGAGGGAGGTACAGGGCAAGGCCTCTGAGCTAGATTATGAATGTCCAAGGCAGAACCTTCTGGAAGACTCTTCCCTGACCGCATGGGGCAGAAATGAAAAATCACATGATCACCGTTGATTGAGAGGAACGAGGATACATAGCTGGGGCCTCAGCACACAGCTGACGC